GCGACCCGCCCACCTCCCCGAAAAATAACTCTCTATATTGATTTCTCATATTTCAACGCGTCAAAATGCCACCAATTCGCAAGAAAGATCCCTTAAAATCTGCTCAGATAGAGGGAAAGATTCAGTTAGCTATTTCTGATTTGAAAAATGGAAGAATTTCCAATATTCGTGAAGCTACAAGGATTTATGATATTCCTCGTACGACTCTCCGAGATCGACTCAAAGGCATTGAATATAAAGGTGAAAAGCGCGCCAACCACCATAAATTGACTCAATCTGAGGAGGATTCACTTGTCAAATGGGTTCTTGATTTAGATCGACGTGGATTACCTCCCCGACATTCTCTTGTACGAGAAATGGTCAATTATCTTCTACAACAACATGGAAAATCACAAGTTGGAAAAAACTGGGTGACCAATCTGATTAAACGCCGTCCGGAGATTGATTCTAAATTCGCAAGGAAATATAACTATGAACGTGCCAAATGTGAAGATCCAAAGATAATTCAAGAACATTTTGACCGCGTACGAGCTGCTATATCTGAGTATGGAATCTTACCAGAAGATATCTATAACTTTGATGAGACTGGCTTTGCTATGGGACTCTGTGCATCTGCGAAGGTTATACTGGAAGCGATCGATATGCTCAGCCAAAGCTTTTACAGCCTGGAAATCGAGAATGGGTGACTGCAATTGAAGCAACAAATTCAACTGGTTGGGCGTTACCTTCGTACATTATTTTCAAAGCAAAGAAAAACGTACGATTAGGTTGGTTTGAGGATCTTCCAGATGATTGGAGAATCAATATTAGCGATAATGGTTGGACAACAGATCAAATAGGATTAGAATGGCTTAAAACCCATTTTATTCCTAATATTAATGATCGTACAATGGGAAAATACCGAATGTTGATTCTTGATGGCCATGGAAGCCATTTGACTCCAGAATTTGATCGTACATGCACTGAGAATAATATTATTCCAATCTGCATGCCACCTCATTCTTCGCATCTATTACAGCCTCTTGATGTTGGCTGTTTTGCAGTTTTAAAACGGTATTATGGGCAGGTTGTTGAGCAACGAATGAGGCTTGGATTCAATCATATCGACAAAATGGACTTTTTAACAGCATTTCCACAGGCTCGTACAGTGGCATATAAAGCTCAATCTATTCAGAATAGCTTCGCAGCCACTGGATTAGTGCCTTTCAATCCAGATCGAGTTCTTCAATATCTTAATATTCAATTGAAGACTCCAACCCCCCCTCCAAGTCGATCAAGCAATACAGCATCATCCTGCTTACAAACACCTCAAAATATACGCCAATTTGTACGCCAGTCAACTACAATCAATAAACATATAAATGAGCGCACAGGAAATCAGAATCAAGAAATCAATCAGGCAGTTATACGGTTGTCAAAAGCCTACGAAATACTAGCGAATGATACTTTACTCGTACGGAAAGAAAACCATGATTTACGAGCTGCGAATGAAAAAGAGAAGCAAAAACGCCAAAAATCTAAGAAACAGATATCTATTGAGCATGGGATTACTAGTGAAGAAGCTCAAGCGCTTGTACAAGGTCAGGTTGAGGCATCTCAAGCTGTTACGGCTGCTCCAGTTGAGCCGGAGCTCCCAGCTTCTCAAGCAGTCGTACGCCGCCAATTTCGCTGCAGTGGTTGTGGTGTTGAAGGACATAAAATTAATCGATGTCCTAATCGTACTACTAATTAATTTTTTGTATATAATTTGTATGTGATTAAGAAATTGTGATTTGAAATCAATATAGAGAGTTATTTTTCGGGGAGGTGGGCGGGTCGCTTGGGTGGGCGGTTCGCTTGGGAATTACGTTAAAGGGTATTGTTGGATTAGCTAAGCTGATTCAACCAATCAGACAGAAGAGATTTGTCAGCCAATAATAGCGAGCCACACATTGATCCACCGAATAGGGAGTAAAAGATATCTTCCACCTGGACTGTACTTAGAGACAAGAACAAGAACAACAAGGGGATCAAGGATTCCATACTTTTGCATACATAATTTGATACGTTGAGATATACCGTTAGAGATTGTTACGTACAATCCAACAGGTATACGAAACAACGGGATACCATTGGAGGAATCAATGATAGTATTGTAGTATGAATATCGTAGTATGCTACGATACTACGATATACGGTATACAGAACGTGGAGGACTGGATATATAAGGACGCTCATTTACCATCATGTATTTAGTTCTTCATAGCTCTTTGACATAAGTCACTTGAATACAACAGTGAGAGTCAGCAAGGCATTCGAACTCGTACGGGCACCAGGCTGTACAGGGGATCTCTTCTATCTTAGTTTTGTTACTATTTCAGTTATCATCCCAGCATCGTCCATACTCGTTACTTACAACTCGTCACGCTCCACTGATCATTGGTCAGAACCTGTGCGAGGTTCAAGTTGTCCTAACGTATCAGGACGCACCGCTGTTAAAACTAAGGTGGATCCAGGTCCGTGACAGAAGGAGATCTTACACAAGCCACAAAGCTTGTTATGGAAGCAGCACAGAAACTGATCATATGAAATGATATTCTTGAACACCAATACAAAGGCCTAGTTAATGCGTTAGTTAATGAGAAGAATCGCCAAAGACGAGGCAGGCCTTTAGGTCTTACTAATAAAGAGAACCCTGGTGAAGCCCAGTTCTTCTTGCCGAGCAAAGTTGAAGCTGCCAAACAGCGCATTCAAGATATTGAATCCCAGAAAGAGCAGGATAAGATTAATGCAGCAATTCTTCGTACACAAGAAGCACTTGAACGCGAAAGGAGAGATCGAAAGAACCAAGAAAAGCGAGAAAGTCGGATCCGTGAGCGAGAAGCGAAGAAGCAACAAAAAGAGCTTGAAAAAGAGCAGCGTCGCATAGCGCGGGAGACTAAAAGACAAGCTAAAGATGATTAGGAAATGCAAAAGAGGCAGACACAGCTTAAAGGAAGATGATCTAAGCGTGTCACAGAGGGCAGTGAGGAGGTTTCTTCAAAGAAACAGAAAATAGAGGTGACTCGTTCAGGCCGAGAAATTAATTTACCCGTGCGGTTTAGGGATTAAATAATTATATATAGCTATCCGGTACATCATTTCCTGCACTGTAGTAAATTTTGATACTTATAACTTTATTTGCTATGGAGATATCACCGAATTGCGTGGTAGAGTAATTTGCGGAGAAGAGTGCATCCGGTGATAGAGCGCATCCGGTGAGCGCTTAATACAGTAATGTTAGATTACTGTGTGCACAAAGCCGAACACGCAACGAAAGGCCAGCCGTCCGTGTCCTGGATTGCACTTTGTACCGTATTATCAGTAGTTGGTGGATCTACTACTGCTCTAGTCTTTATAAACGAAAGACGATGGATTCAAGATATTACTGAAATAACTGCTAGAATGAAACAATTCCCCAACTATAGCTTGTTATATGGTGCCCATATGAAGCTAGATTTGGCACAGTCTTTGCGTGCGGAGAGCCTGGGCTAGAAGATGCCAGAGCAGTGGTCAGAATAGCATACATTTGAGATTCCGCCGATCGAGAAATTTTTTTCAATGTCATTCTTGGAATATGTATTTTGCTTGCGTCTTTTATCGGCTCGAGAGGAAGCAGCCTCGTAATCATAATCAATGGCGATGCCACCATTGAAATTCCTGTTAATAGCATCAATAGGTTGCGTAGCATGGAAACTCAAGACACCCGCATGTTGGAGCAAGACAGATATCACGTCGACTCCATCAGCAAAGATATTTGACCTAAAGGACTGCCATTTCCTTTGCAGAAATGATCTTATAACAGAAAATTAAGATAGAGCCACTACTACAAAGTGTGACGGTTCAGCCATAGACCGCAGTGCCTGAGGCAGCAGGCCAGGTAACCGCGCCGTTTGCTTGCACATAAACAGCTTCAATTTCTCTCTACATGATAATTTTCCTCTCTAAGCTTAGGTTTCTCAATAGTTAAGACTGATTTGATCAGTATTGAATGGTCCTTCTCATAAATGAGCTCAAGAGAATGAATGCATCTGATTCAATGTGCGTTATAAGCCAAGCACAATTGTCAAAGATCATATTGCCAGAACTGGCAATCTCAAAATATCCGAAGACACATTATCCCATGCGGCCCATCCATCGTCGCCCATATCATGACCAATCTCGTTGCCTTTCAGTTTAACAACAAAGGCGTCCCCAGCAAACGCGCGCTCCCTGCCAAAGATTGCCTTGGGAAAGTTTCTATTTTCGGGTAACGACTCAAGATCAAACGAATAAAATAACACGTAAAACCCGTTGCAGTTGCTGATCGGTTGGTTCTCGAGCCTGAAGGTCTCAATATCTCGCCACTGCCACGCCCGTGCAGTTTTCCAGAACTCTCGCAGGTCAGGCACGTGGCCCCAAGATCCGTCAAGACCATCGCGTACATCGTCAGTTGTCGTTGTGAGAGATACGAGTTGTGCCTTGGAACCGTCGGCTGGGAATCTGATGCCTGTGATGGTGACTGGTGTTGGGGCTGGGCGAGGCGGCAGCTGCCTGCTGAGCAGGAAATCGACTAATCTCTGCATGTCAATGCACCTCGCGAAAATCAGATTCTCATAAGGCTAAACTACCGGTCGAGGAAGTACTAGAACGTGTAGACGAAGAGACGGGCTGCCCTAGCCGTCGTCGGATTAAAAAAAAGCCGACCAACGTAATTGTGTCGGAAAATGCTGTTAGGTAACCCGGATATCCGGCGAGGCAGAAGCCTTGAACCTTCAAGGTTTACCCCTCATGATAGTGTCAGAAAGATCGTCTTGTTCTGTTGAAGATCTACTCCACGTCAGGGCAATACTTGGGCACCTACATAGTACATCTCAGTCAATCAGAAGCTACCTTATCAGAGCTCAAAATTATCCTCATATTTACCCCTCATGACAGTTCACAAATCACCCCGCCAAAAATGTCTATAAAAACCCTTCTTGGAAACTCATGTATGCACAGAGAGGACACACAACACAATACATACAGGTCTTGCTGGTCACTTCTTTTCTTTTCATCCCAGTAAAAACCTCCTCAGGATTTGCCTGGAATAAACCTACCAATCCGACAAACTTAGCAGAAATTCGCGGATTTTGTCCATGGTCTCTCATCCACGACTCGCTTGCAACAACCAAGCAAGAGGCGTGTCGCGCTCCGCATCTTCGGCATTGACATTCGCCCCGCGCTCAACCAAATTTCACAGCGTCATACTGACAATACTCAGCGGCCCAAGACAACGCGGTTTGGCGATGGTAATCCTATTTATAGTTTGCGTTGAACCGTACGGCTAAGAAATTTTCCGGAGCTAAGATCAATGTGTCAGATAATCCGAATTTCCAACGAGGTATAGAATCCAAAGGCCATCCTCAAACATATAAAACTTCACCTGGTGCACCTGAAACTCGACTTGAAACGTCATGGCCGTATTCCTTGGAACCCCAAGTCTGTTAGTTGTTACACATCTTGGCAAAATATCTATATAAACCCGGCTTTGGAACCTGATGTACTCGGAGAGGACAGAAAAGAGGAGATATTCACAATCTTGCTAGTCACTTCTTATTTTACCATCCTTGTAAACAATTTTTCAGGATTGGACTGGAGTTAACCCACCAATCCGACATAGTGTAGCTAGCTCAGTTCATGGTTTAGGGTAAATCTGTATCATGGTGCATTTTTATTTCTACATTATTTATAATTACTTTAACGTGGATATTTTTACTTCAATATATCCTTTCTATTATCAATTATGTCTCACTCTTCCAAGAAGTCTGTATCTCCTGAATTGGGAGAGCAATCGCACTTTTTTCCCTCCTATCTTCGCATCCTCACAAATTGGCGGGTAATTCTCTGCACTGAGCATGGATCATGTTATACTCGCCACAGTCTTCCCCAACATCTTCTTCGAAAACACCATATTAAACGACCACAGCGACAGGAAATTGAACAGCATCCAGAATATCAATTAATTGCTAATACTTTAGACGAGGTTATACGGCCTACAGATGGGATTACTGAGATTAATGGCCTTCTAACCACCCTTGGCTTTCTCTGTTATATAGAGCACTGCTCCTATCGATCCTATAGTGCTGGTCACATGCGACAACTTTATAACCAGGAACATGGATGGCGCAAAAGTCAAGGAGTAATGCCTTAGAATCATGCACATCTTCAAACATTATTTCAGGAAAAGGAACAAATTCGTTACTTTATGGTAGTACCGGTTGGTCTATTCTCATCACCACGTGCCTCTCTACATATCAATAACGCATCTACTCTTATAAGCAATGATCCTCCTTCCTTAGATACCCTCCTCCAAGAATACCGCACATTTCAAACTCAGAACTTAGTGTCACATACTGTGAATGATAGTCAGCATGTCTCTGAAATCACTCCATGGTTGCGAACAACCGGCATTCATTTTCACCTTACTGGATTGGATCTAGAAACTGCGGGAGATCTTTATAGTAATCGTGATGAAATACGATTAGATCTCATCTGCGCCAGCGTGGACCGAACCTGGAGAAAGACGGAACAGCTGCTGCATCACAACCATGCTGAAAATGCGGCTCAACATCAAGTATACTATCAATGGCAGCAAGCTAATGCAAGTGTATGGCGACGTGATACCAACCCATTTAAATCTGCACTGCGCCTTCTTATTGACTTCACAGAGAAATACTCACATACCACATACACCGCTGGGAATATCCGGGGATTAGCCCTCTATATTGACAATTCAATCGCCGCACTAGCGGCAGGAGCAAAGGAGTTGGCAATAGATGCCATATTTGGAATGAACAATGCTGGAATGGATTTATTTGCTGTTCTTGCAGAGCTTGATGGAACTGGGGTCCCTTTAGCCTATCTTTTTGTTGAAATACTCAGTTCAGAGGATGGTACTAAGCGTACAGATGCGGGAGCAATGACTTATCTTCTCTATCAATTTTTAACACCATTAAGAGTATCAGGATTTAATCCAACCTTCTTTGGATGTGATAAGGATAAGTCTGAGGTTACTGCTATTCAGCAGGTATAGCCAACAACGACAATCCAATTATATTTCTAGCATATAAGACGCGCAATTCGAGCAAAATTTAAAGACTCAAATAAGATGAATACTCAGACTCACTACTTTCCTGGTGATGCTCAAAAGCTTATTTTAAACCTCGAAATATGCTGGGGCTCATTGCCAGTACACAGACCAGATGGAATTCATCGCTATGGGAGGTGCCAGTGTGAGTCATAATCTATTAAATTTGAGGAAAAAGGTCGCATTGAAACTTCCAGCGTCACTAAGCGGGATACAGTTTTGGAGATCTTTAGTCGTCACTATAATGCACATTCTTTGATCCCAGATCACAATGGCACATATCGTTCACCAGAGAATATTTACAAAGAATGTATCACTAAGATATATTCGTGGTGCCGAGCTCGAAATTACTTCCAATTATGGGCTTACTTATATATTAATTGGTATAAACCTGGTTAATGGGAGCTATGGGCCCGATCAGCGAATGGTAGAGAGATACCAATTCTTAAGACAACAATGATTGTTGAATCTCACTGGCAAAAGATCAAGCATAATTACCTTCACCGGTTCAATCATCCTCGCATCGACCCAGTCATCTGGGTGTTAATATCTCGAGTTATACCATATACACTGAACAGAATGGAGGCAATCCACAATAATGACAATCGAAAAGCTTCTGCAAGCTGGAGAAAGGCATTTAAAAAGGAATGGAAACAACTTAAGGATCGTGAAATTAATCCTAAAAGCATTCAAAAATATCACATAAACCCAGTATTGTGGACATGTGCTTGTGATGCATTCCTATCAAGCCGATTCTTAATATGCAAGCATATCATACATTGCTATGATCCTATCACAGACCCTATTACATTCCTTACTAGGGTTCACAGACAGAGGGTCAGTCCATTCTGGGTTAATAAGCATCTCGTGTTACGCCCAGAATATAGAAAAATTGAGACAGTGACAGATTCTGATGCAGACTCTGATTCGGAGTCAGATATTGATCTAGAAGCTTTGCAGGAAGATCAATTGACAGCAATAGATGATGAGGTCCCAGCAGAAATTGATGTGGAGGGATTTATTTCCATGATGCAATTAGCAATGGATATATTCTACGAACAGAATAAGAAGTTTCTTAAGAGGTTCATTGCTGCTAATGGAGTGACGTGAACGGGCAGAATATGAGCACAACCTAGCCATCCACTATGGCTTGATTGCTTCTGCAAACCAGTTGATGAAAAATGCCGTGATCCGTGACTGACTGGCTGCAGAAAAGAATGTTCTCAGTTTTAAGATAGAAGTAGCAGGCTTGATGAATCATTTCCTATATCTGGTGATACGCGGGATTTGCGACTATTCTGACTTTCACAAGAACAAAGAGTGGCAAGGATATGTGGCAATGGCTGCGGCTGCTTATGCTAAAGATCTCTTGTCCCGCATTCCACCAAGTAGGGTTGAAGTGGGGAAGAGAATCATTGACATCCTTGCCTCCAGTTAGTAGTTTCAAGCAGATCTTGCAAAGTTCTCTACTAACGAAATCCAGTTAAACTCGGCAAATTCATCGTCCTCCGACAGTTCGCCATCTGTATCATCAGCCGGCATATTACCGAAACTATTAATTTCACCCTGTTTATTTGTAGGGTAAGACTCCATGAGCTGCAAGTAGTACTCGGGCGGTGGTGTCGGTCGCGGATCGTTGTGAGCAGTTTTGGATAGGGAACGAAGCCGAATGTCAATGTCAATAGAATTTCCTAGAATCGCACCACTCGGAACAGCAGGTGATGCCATACTAAGCGGTAGGCTACATGGCAAGCTCATGATTTAATCAAATTTCATGCGAAGGGAGATAGAATGAATGCGTGAAATGTCGAGCCAGAAACGTCGGGTCAGAAACTTGAGCTTTTGATCTAGTCAGACGAAGCAGTAATTCAACTTGGAAACTCGAAGTAGAATGTGAGCTCAAGCCTAGAATGTAACACTTGGAATCACCACAATAAGTAATATTTTCGGTTGGCAGCGTGTCGTATCCCTTTATATCTACGACCGTAAATCAGGCATCCAGCAACTAGTGGGTCCGATCGTCAGAACCCAGTTAAGCTAACTACTTGTCGCGTCGCCTCCCCCCACCCTAGACCGGGTGGTGGTCGGCCCGGACTCAAGGGCCAAAATTTTCAAAATCTCAACTTGGCATTTACAAACGTCAAAACCAGAGCCAAAATGACCCCTAAATTATATAAAGAAGAGGAGGAATTGATTGCAAAGGCCCTCAGTGCGTGTCAACACGAAATAAAGCCGAATTTTAGCAAATTATCGCGTGAATATGGGGTGTCTCGCAAAAAACTGTCCCGTCGGTGGCATGGCTTACCCTCTCGCTCAACACGCCCACCTACGAGGCGCCTACTATCTCTAGATCAAGAAAAGGCACTTATTCTATGGATTGAGTATCTAGATAATATAGGCGCGCCTCCTACGAATCAGCAAATTGAAGAAAGTGCGAATTATTTGCTCGGCAAAGATTTCAGTGGTCCAGGAGAGGCCCCTCGTGCCGGAAAAAATTGGGTACACGATTTTATCAAGCGCCTGCCAAAACAATATGTACGAATCGTTCAAAAACCTCAAGAAAAGGAACGTACCGTTGCAGAGCATTATGGTGAGGTTGAGCGCTGGTTTATTGACCTCGAGCTCGCTATACAACAATACAAAATTCGCCCTCAAAATCTGTGGAACTTCGACGAGACTGGATTCATTGTTGGACAAGGAAAAGATGAAGTGGTGGTAACAGCATATCCAAAAACATCAAAAAGGGTATCTAGCCTGTCCTCTTGAGAATCAATTACTGTCATTAAAAGTATAAATGCCGAAGAAAGATTATACCACCTTTATTGATTCCAAAAGGCAAGTCCATTTGGAGGAATAGTACCGGCATATAAAAGATGACGACTGGCTAGTTGCACCTGCTTCGAATGGATTTATCACAGATGAGATCGCATTCAAATGGCTTCACACTTTGACCACTTCTCTAGGCCTGGGGCCTTCCCGGATTGGCGGTTACTTCTTATGGATAATTATATAACTTATCTTACTATATAGTTTGTGCAATATTGTGAAATTTGGTACATTCGCCCATTCCGATTTCCGCCTCATTCTACGCATTTTTTACAACCACTCGATGGAGTGCCATTTCAGCAATATAAACATGTTCATGGACGGGTTATAAATAAGATTGCACGCTTGGGTAGCTTCAATTTTGATAAAAATGACTTTTTTGAAGAATTACGCGATATCCGGATAAAGACATTTACCACACGAACGATTCGGCACGGCTGGAGAGAGTGAGGAATTTGGCCTCTTAATCCTTGGCTTATACTTGATATGATGCTTCAGCCAGAGGAAGCATTTGAAGCACTTGTTGCTGAAGGGGATGCACTAAAAATATATGGCGAGGCGGATGACACTATTCCCAGCTCACCAACTACAAAATCAATATCTCCACCGTCAACCGCCGTAAAACTACGTCGCTATGTCAATAAGATTGAAAAATCGATTGACGGTATAAAGGATATTCTTGACGAAGTAAGCCCGGGCCTTTCACGCCATATAAAAGTGGTTAATCAAGGCAGTCTCACCTTGGCCGAATTAGGCGATCTACACCGTGAGAGCTTTGCCAAGGTTCGTGATATAGCAACGCGCAAGAATCAAAAAACTACAAAGCGCCAAGTCAAAGCGAGTGGTGCACTCTATGCAAAAGATGCGAATCGCCTCATAAAACGCCGTCATGATGGGGATTTGTTGAAAATCTATAAGAGCCATGTCGTTGGCGTGCCGCAGCCGATGGAAGAAGTGGCTTCAACAGAGCCTCAAAACAGCGGGTTTTTCTTTGATACTCAGGGAGATAGGTGAACAATGCTTGTATTTAATACCTGTCTAGTTTTTATATGCAATTTATATGGCGTTGGTGGACTGTAAAACATTTTACATGAGACTTCATATTTTTTGGCCCTTGAGTCCGGGCCGACCACCACCCGGTCTAGGGTGGGGGGAGGCGACGCGACAAGTATCCCAATTCTCAAGATTTCGAAAACCAAATAGAACCGAACCGACAGAACAGAACTCGCGATGCCTCGTGTCAGCCAGCTGCCTGAAGAGGTACTCGCCAACTTGCGAGAGGACTATCTTCTTTCGTATATGGAAGAATTCGACAAGGCAGATCTAGAAGCCATCTTCGAGAAAACTTACACAGAAGAAGAATTCGTCAAAGAGGCAGAAGAGAATCCTTACTATCTCTTTGCCAATGTCCTCCGTCGACAACAGCACTTGCTCTAACTGTATGAGGAAGCTGCTGCTGCTCACAATGAGATGGTTGAGAATCTTGATGCTCTAGGTGGAGTGAATACCAATCAGAATCAGAATCAGAAAGAAGAACTTACCCAACTTAAGAAAGAACTGAAAGAGGCTTATCGCGAGGCCAAGCAAAATGCCGACAATATTGTTGAACTGCAAGAAGAACATAACTAGTATATATAAGCTTTTACTAAGTTACACCTCTAAACTGGTAGTTGGGGTGGTAGCGAGGGAGATACACCAAGACTAACCTTCACGCTAAAATCCACCAAGTTGCCTAAAGGAGCAAAGCTCTTAGACAGTGTCAATCCAACCTTTGAGTCTTGATTAATTAATATGGAAGGAACCCTAGAGAGCAACGCAGATCACTATCCAAATATAAAGGATTAAATTCTTTTTATAAAGAAAATGTATGAGGGTTAGATAGCTAAGCATTTAATGCCCCGTCTTTGCAAGAACTCTCCTCATCCCTTCATAGATGCTGACAACATGTTTAACCACTTAAAGACTATTTTTAAAGATGTTAATTAAGTCACTAATGCAAAAGCTAGATATTATGCTGTTCAGATGACGAGCAAGATGAAATTCCAGGATTTCCTAACTAAATTCACTTATAAAGCTCAAGAATCCAAGACTGACATTCAATCTTGGAAGGAAGACCTTTATAGCAAGCTGAGCTTTGAGCTGTAGTATAAGTTGACTGATGAAGCAGATAACCCAGACCTTGACTGGGCTGGTTTTGTAAGAAAAGTTACAAAGACAGTAAATTGCCTTAAAGTAATTTCTGCTGTTGAGAGCAAAGTATACCATCGCAGTATGAATACAAATTTGAGTGCTAGTTCCAACGCTAGTAATTCTATTTGCTTAACCCCTGCAAACTATCTCTTCCCTACTCTCTCTGCTGCTGATAGTAGTTTATCAAACAAGGATGATAAGAAAGGTGAATAGGTGGATAATATAGCTCGTGCTCTGCTTATAAAAGAGGGCAAATACTTCAAATATTGCCAAACTGGTCACATTGGTCGAGATTGTCCTAATAATGATAAGCCAGCTGCAAAGAAGAGTTCAGACCTTAAGAAGCTAGAAAAGATAGATGAAGCGAGCTCAGTCAACTCTAATTTGGAATTAGAAAACAAGTAAGCCTAGAAAAAGTCTCCTTCTTAGGCTCAATAGAAGTCAGCATGTGTGATATAGATCTTAGTCAATTAATTGGATGTGAAAAGGATAGTTTCATAATACTAATTTAAATAGCGAAGAATACACATTTAATTACTGCACGGGCACTTGCTGATACTAGAGTAAATAGACTAGTATTTATAGATACTAATTTCACTATATTGTTGAGCAGATTCCTCAAGGTGAGGACTCATCAGTTAGAAAATAAATATGCTATAAGAGGATATAATGGCAAGACTGCAATCCCAATTACTCATGCTATCATATTCATATTTATTATGAATAGACATTGTTAGCTAGATGTGCCATTCCTCATTGTCAATTTAGACAAGCATAATGTGATCCTAAGGAAGATATGGTTTGCAAAGCATAACATTCTCATGGACTATGCAAAGAAGCAACTGTTATGGCCAGAGGAAGTCTCTTTAAAGAATGAGATTGTTACCAAGGGATATATGCAATTACCTCAGCAGATTCTAAAGTAATAGAATAAAATCAATCCTGATCATTAAAAAGATGCCGACCGACGAGACCAGGCTTTCGAGAAGTAATAGCTAAGACCTATTCCCATGGAATATGGCCAATCATATAAGAAGAACTATGAGGCTACACTCCTAAGGATAAACTGATTTATCAAGGAATTAATGAAGGATTAGGAGGATCCGCCTCTACTTCCAATTCGAAGAAATCCTAAAGCTTATAAGTTAGTGGAACTTGACATCACTATCATTAGGGGAAATGGTTTCCATCACTTAGTGTAGCAGAAGAAGAGTCAAATCTTCTTTACCAGCTTATATGAGATCGATAAGATCATTAAGGATAAAAAGATCCTAGAGGAAAAACTAGAAGAAGAGGAAATCAGGAAAAAGCTATCAGCTTATCTAAAAGACTTTGTAGATATCTTCTCCAAGCATGAATTGGACAAGTTGCCTCCGCACCGGCCTTATAACTATAAAATTGAGTTGGAAAAGCCGAACGAGTTGAGTTATAACTCTCTCTATAAGATGTCGAGAGATGAACTAGAAGCAGCGCAAGAGTACATTATTGATAACCTGAATAAAGGATTCCTTGAGCCTAGTAGCTTACTATTTGCAGCACCAATTATTATAGCATTGAAGCTAGGAGAAGGATTGCGTTTCTGTGTTAACTACCGCAAGCTTAACCAATTAACTAAGAAGGACTGGTATCCTTTACCACTAATCAATAAGGTTTTTAAGTGTCTAAGTTGAGCACACATCTTCACGAAGCTTGACATTAGACAAGATTTCCATAGGATTTGTATGGATCCAGACTCTAAGGAATACACTACTTTTTGGTGTCAATATGGTACCTACAAGTATAAAGTTATGCCCTTTGGATTGACTAATAGTCCTACGACTTTCCAGCGATTCATGAATGATATCTTTATGGATTGCCTTGATAGATTTCTGATTGCTTTCGTGGATAATCTGCTCATCTACAGTAAGAACATGGTAGAGCATTAGATTCACATGAAAATAGTGTTGGAACGACTCTAAGCCACTGGATTATAAGCAGCAATTCACAAGTGCAAATTCAGTGTGGAACAAACAAAGTTCCTAGGTTTCATCATGACTAAGGATGGCATTAAGATTAATTAGGAAAAGATTAAGGCTATTACTGAGTGGAAGGCTCCCACCACTATTTTTAGCATTCGGTCTTTCTTAGAATTCTGTGGTTTTTATCAGAAGTTCATACAAGGGTATAGTTGAATAGCAAAGCCATTGAATTACCTAACATGGCAGAATATATCATTTAAATAGATAACTAAGTGTCAAGAAGCTTTTAATAAACTAAAAAGATGCCTTGCCAGTGCACCTGTGTTATGTCACTATCAGCCCGAGTTACCTTCTTAATTAGAAACTGATGCTTTAGATGGAGTTATCACTGCAGTATTCTCTTAATTACAAGAGAATAGTCACTAGCACCCAGTTACATACTTCTCAAAGACAATGACCAACGCATAATTCAATTATAACATTCACAATAAGGAGCTCCTAGCAATTATATCAGCCCTAAAAGAATGGAGGGCTGAGCTGGTGGGCTTATAGAGAGGCAAACAATTTAAGATTCTTTCTAATTATATGGCTCTGCGGTACTTCATGACGACAAAGCGCCTTACTGCTAGACAAGCTAGGTGGTGCAAATTAGTAAATCAATATTACTTTATTATTAAGCACCATCCAGGAAAGGAGAACACGCTGGCGGATACATTAACTTGGAGAGAAAGCACTCCAGTTAACCACAAGAAAGGGTGTATGCAGCTCATGTTGCCAAAGAAGTGCCTAGGGCCTTCACTAGTAAAAGATTCGTTAAGTGTGGTTGAAAAGGAAGAAGGTAGGGAAGATAATAATGAGCCTCCTAATCAGAAGAGTGTTAAGCTATCACCAATAAACACTGCTATAGATGTTATTTCTAGAGTCATCACCATAAATACAAGAAGCCCTGAATGTAAGCAATTCCAAGAGCTTATGAGAACGGGAGACAAGAACTAGATATTATACGAAGAGGTCTTGTTATTCAAAGATTGGGTATTTATTCCAGATGAGGGGGATCTTCGAGCTTAGTTACTAGATGAAATCCATTGTTAACTGTTGACAGCTCACCCAGGTAAGAACAAGATAAAGCAATTAGTTCAAGCACATTACTATTGGATTACCTAGAACAAAGATGTGGAGCAATATATCGATAACTATGTGACATGTAAGCGCACAAACACAAGAAGAGACTTACCGCCAGGACTATTGAATCTATTGCCAATCCCTAGCAGACCATGGCAGTATATCTCCATAGATTTTATAATCTATCCTCCTGACAAGATAGGCTACAACACGATGTTTATAGTGGTTAATTGGTTTGGCAAGACTCTAATATCTATACCATGCCGTAAGAACATTGATGCAAGAGAGTTGGCTAGACTCTAGATAAAGTACGTGTACGCTTGTACAGGATTACTGGACTCTATTGTGTTAGATCGTGGTCCCCAGTTCGTGTCAGAATTCTAGAACAAGGTATACTATATATTAGGAATCAAGATTTTATTGTCTACAGCAGATCATGCTCAGACCAATAGGCAGACAGAGATCGCAAATTAGTATTTATCCTAATACCTGAGACTATATGTTAACCACTTTCAAGATGATTAGTCAGAGTGGTTGTCAATTATCAATTTTGTGGCTACTTCATTGTCTCAAGATTCCACAGGGTTGTCATCATTTATAATTAAAAAGAGGTTTCAACCAAGGATGTTATTTAACTGGAGGAAACCAGATCCATTGAGGAAGTTCACTGTTAATGAGAAGGATATGCGCGTGTGGGTGAAGCAATTTCAAGAAATTTGGGACTTTGCTTGTGGTAATCTAGAGATAGCATAATAGCATCAAAAGAAGCAAGCTGACAAGTACCGACGAGAGGTTGACTTTAACGTGGGAGATGAAGTTATGATATTGATAAAAGGATAGAGAATGAATTGTCTAAGTTGGAAGCTCGCAGACCAAGCTGCAGGTCTCTACAAGATAATTGAAAAAGTCAGCTAGGCCTATCAATTAAAGCTAGACGAAGGAATGCAAATTTACAATATCTTTACACTAAAAAAATTACAGTGTGTGTCATCGACTGAGCCATTAAGAGGTTAGATTTTAGAAAGAGTGAAGCCGGTGGAGATTAATAGTTAGCAGGAGTGGGAGGTAGAGAAAATCCTTAATTCAAAGATGAGATGGAATAAGCTTCATTATCAGGTGAAGTGGCTAGGCTATGATCCTGATCTAAGATGGTATTTGGCGGCAAATTTTAAGAATGCACCGTGTTAATTAAAGTCATTCCATGATTGATATCCAGAGAAGCCAGGACCCCCAGTAAACTTGCAACGATAGATTGAGGCAGTAGAGAGGGACAAATTTATTAACAATGATAGAAAAGATAACGCGATAGAGGAGTTGAAACCAAGTGCTTGGGGACAAGCGTCTTATAGAGATGTCGAGGATTAGGTAAGCTAAACCTAATCAAGGAAAGCCTACAACATTGATACAAAAAAAATTCGAGAATTGAAGTCACAAGATTGAATCTACGAATCAACTTTACAGCTCTGTGTCGAGAATCTTCTATTTGAGATTGCGTGGATGGGATTCTCAAGCATAAATAGTGTCCAACAATCCCCTCAAGATGTAGATAGAAGAGTGGGCAGAATAAGGTCAATATCGATATTTCCACTATAAAGATATCTTTGAGTATTAAGCTTAACTGAGTTTGTGCTAGTGCACTGCAAGTTCCGATAAGAGAGGGGAGTAATGTGATAGTCAGTAATAAGGTTATTCACAGAGTTCGGTTTACGTAGTCACATGCTAGGGTTACGTAGGGGGGTTCATGATTCTGTCACGTGATCACGACAATACATCTTGTTTGCAGATAGCCTCACATTCCTAGCTTTTTGCCTGGCAGATGGCGTAGTGGAAAGCACCATCCAGGAAACACCTACTCGGTAGCTATCTTACTGATTAGAGCGTTGTGGGTTCGAATCCCACGCCCGGCACTCCTACGGGAGACATTTTCCACACCCCTCGGCTTTAGATTAGTACGCAACCTAGCCGATTGACTTCTACGTGATGCTTCTGAGGTTTCTCCCATAGGGTTTCCCTCAGTTCGTGGGACGTGCCTTTATGACACGATTCACGGCGAATGCGCACCAGCGTTCACCCAATACCGCCCGAAGCAGCTATGTAAACGCGCCGAAGGCCCAAATCTACATTAAGACGTCTGTATGTATTTAAAAGTGCTATATATATATGGATAGTGAAACCCAGGACTCACCTCCTGGCGGCCTTTGTCCCACTAGGGAATGGGTAGGGACCATGACAAAAGTTATGGCCTGCGTAGACCTCTGCAAGTCCCATGGGACTGGCCCAATGGGACTGTCCATGGGCGTCCATGGGCGCCCCATGGGACTGAAGCCTGTGTCCATGGGCGGGCGGTACCCTGCTGTCCATGGGCAGGATTTCCATGGGACTGTCCATGGGACTGCAAACAGTGCAAACATAGACGAATCCGCTGTTTGCATAATTTATGCCAAACTAGTCCGTATTTTTAAGTAACAGTATGAAATCAATACAAGTAATACCGCCGCGCTTTTCTTACTTATTGATTCACTACAGTCTACAGAAGCGTCGGACGGTCAGTAGGTGTAGATTATGTTCTTAGAATCGCAAGTTCGCAACCAAGAATCACAAGATTCATAACTGTTATATGACATTCATATCTAGAGCAGTAGAGCTATATATTACTATTATTAGTAATAGTCAAAGCCATCATCTTTTCTCCCTAACCGTGCCTGTACTCTTCGTGATGCTCAATTGCTGGTTCCTAGAAGTGCTTCATCGTCGGTGTGTTCCTCTACTAAGATTATCCTTCTCTTTCTGAGTGCACGCTTACTGGGTTGTGGTAACGCGTTGCTCTTCTTATTTATCGTAGTAGGGTTAGAAACTGTTGTTGCCTCCTCTACTACTTCAGTTAGCTGAATCACTTCCTCGCCATTATTTTCCTCGCCATCATTTTCCTCACTATCACTTTCTTCATGATCACTAATAGGATCAGGTACAATGTCTTGAAGCTCAGCCTCTCGAGCCTCATCTTTTTGCTGTCGATCTTCTAGTGGAATATTAATATCCTCCCTATCATCCTCCACTTTGATATTGAACTTGGAAATACACTGGAACATCATTAGATCCTGAATTGTAGTAGAGTTCAGAGATCCTCGTTGATAGTAGCAGATATCTCGAGCGGAGTTGAAGAGTCGTTCAACTCCTGCACCTGTAGCAGGAATTGAGAAAATATCCCAAGCGACTCTAGCAAGTGTAGGATACTTATCCTCCATCTCTTTCCAGAAATCACATGGTTTCTTCTTCACAGTCCCTAAATAACAGATGTTAATATATAGTAGAAGTACCGAATTATAGACTTACCACTATCAAGATATTCTTGGAGCTCATTTGTAGTAGCCTTTGCCAGTGTCTGTGTTATTTAGCGCGACCCACAGTTAAATAGCCTTTCAATTTCGTCAACTCTTGAAGCAGATGATGTGTTTAGCAAAGAGACCTATGATTGTGACTAGTCTTTAGAGTAATGCTCGAGATAATCCTTTAGAAAATCATGGTATGTCTGGCGCCACTCAAAATTATTATCTGCCCATTCTGATGTTGAAAAGAACTGTAATTTATACTGTGGAGCAAGGATCGTTCCAATCGCATAGAGATTACCATGGATCTCCTGTGTATCATTATAATAAGCTTTCAGCTTTTCTATACCAGCATCGAGTGCAGTAAGCATTTCTTGCTTCCAGGGTACTCGCTTCCATTGAAGCTGGCGCATCGAGCTCTCAAAGTGATCGAAGAGTAGATTGTATACTCGAAAGATATTATGGACTGTTACATCCTTAACCTTCGAAAGTGCTGTAGTCCACTGGTAAAAGGGATGAGTAATACAGATCAAGTAGTCAACCTGACGCTATTCCTCCGCATTGAGTCGAAATTGTGTATGATTATGCTTGATACAGTATCTATCAAAAATCGCTTGAAGACGTTTCGCACGATGTAATATCAAGAATATGGAGTTCCATCGTGTTCTCACATCTTGTATTGGTACTAGCTTTGGTTCTTTGGCTTGGAGGCCGAGGAATGCTGTGCGTCTTTAGGGGCTAGCATTGATAAAAATAGCCAAGCCACGTATCTAGATAATATATTAGATAAGATTGATAAATAGCTTGGGATGATATTTAAAATTGGCTCACGACACTGTACTTACTTTGGCTAGTGTATAACTGATGCCCTTTTCTCTCCGGATTTGCCGTAGTCGCTCTGCTTCTTCATCTGACCAGGCTTGGTCCGGATTATCATTTTTTAGATTCACTTTCATAAGGCATAACAAGTCCTTGAGACTAAGTTGGATAACATGAGCCAGACAGGGTATGCGTACAAGACGAAGCTCCTCTGGGATATCTGGGGACTCGATTGCGTCATTGAACGCCCGTAGTAGGGTTTTGTTATTTGAAGCATTGTCAGTTGTCAATGCCAGTACACGGTCAACTAAGTCATGTTGCTGAAGTGTCTCTAATAAAACCGCACTAAGATTTATACTGGTATGCCGATCATAGAGAGGCTCAAACCCTAGAAGAATCTCACGATATTGCCAATTCTTGTCGATAAAATATCTAGTTATTGCTATAAATGCTTGCTGGAAAGGTGAGGTCCAACAATCAAGAGCTACTGAGATCTTTGCACCAGGTGGGAGATAGGACAGAATTTCTGCTTGTCTCCTCTTGACTTGAAGTCCAAGCTGACGCCGAGCGGTAGTTGGCGAGAGTAGATTCGGCATAGTGGGAGCCAGACAGGCATATTGAATCAGATTGATAAGGCCTTTGTGTGCGAGAAATTGGAATGGGAGGTGTGAATTTGCAATCAGTTCGATTTGAGTTTGAGTCCAATCTTCGTCATTGAATACTTTTATTGTCTTGGTTGGTCGATGAGCCTATGATAGTGTAAATCAGCATCATGAAATCAAGTAGAAGTCGGATTATTTACTGCGAATTGGAGGGATTCTTGGATGTTCTGTTGCTGAGTAGTATCAAATGCTGCTTTCACGCACTTTGCTCCACTCAAATGTCGTTTCATAGAATTCGTACCATTTGATGTCTTCTGTGGATGAGGAAGAGTCTTCCCGCATTGTTTACACATGACTTGAGGGTCTCCTGTTAGATGATTAGCCACCTGGTCATAGTTATTCTAGCATGATGACTGTTTTTTAGCCTCCTAATTAATTTTTTTGTTTGGATAGCACTTTAGGAATTGTGTCCCCATCCACCAACTGATAAAATCATCCTTATTCATTTCAGACCAAAGAACCCAGGACTTTCTCCTATCAGGCCCTACCAGTTGTAACGATTCGGGGATAGGAGAACCTGTGTCGGTCGTAGATAGAAAGGACTTAAAGGAGATTGCTGGTTGATCTTGTGCAAGAGAGGTAGCAGGCGTTGTCATAGAATATGATGTAAAATCGTCAGGAATATCACTCCCAAGAAATGACGAGGGACCAGCATCTGAAAATCGAGAAAGTTGAGACATTATGAGTTTGAGGCAGACTGCTGGTACTGCTCTAGGTAAAGCATCACCTACATAATAAATCAAATAGTTTTTAAATCTCTAACTCTGAATCTTATATGTATATACTATGGCTTTCATCAACTAGCTCTAAGTCTTGACTCTTCACTCTTTAGTATTAGCGTTAGGGGCAACACGTCAGACGTGTTGTTATAATCCACTTGACTATGTGATACGCTATATCCATTGGCTCATACCGATAACTCCCATGGGAGTCCCGCGGGAGTCCTATGGAAATCCCATGGGAGTCCCAAGTCCCATCAATACAGGGTCTAGACGATCCCCCGGGAAGAAAGTCAGGTTTTTATCAATTTTGGTGGTTATCCCATGAATGAAAAACAACGTTATCGTAGCTTTACTATGACTAGAGACTGTCAGAGTAGCAATTTAAGATTCTGGCAGCTTTAAACAATCGTACTATGGATTCTTCAGGATCCATTTAGCGCAAAGACTGACAAGAACACATCGATGATATATTTCCGTGAGAGTTGTATACTGGATATATATATTTCTAGAAGGACTAGCTGGAATCTAGAGCTAAATCAATTGGCTATCGAAGTTCTACTCGGTGTACGGTGTACCCCATCTACTCTGTGCGCTCTAGAGTCTGTACTCTGTGCGTGCTGTATACTCTATCTGCTCAGTGCTGAGTGCTCTATCACTTAGCACTCTGTAAGTCTATGTGCCATTGTGCTCACTCGTGAGTCGTGACTCTGCATACTCCGCTCACTCTGATTTGAGTGTTTAGAATATGAGATATGTTACGGGTATAATACATATGTAAATAACAGCTAATGCCGGGAGTTAGTCAGCACTTTATGCGGCCGAAACAGGTAATGCCCCACAGGTTTATGCAAATTCAGGCAGAAAGTTGGTAGCCTTGGGAGTCCCATGGGAATCCCATGGGACTCCCATGGACGGGCGGAAGCGGCCCGCACAGTCCCATGGACATTTGTCCCATGGGACTGGGCGGGACTTTTTACTAGTCCCATGGGACTTGCAGAGGTCTAGGCCTGCGGCCGTTAAATAGAAACACACACACACACACACATTCCTAGCTTTTTCTTTCTTTCTCCATGTTTGGTATTCTTGTACTTAGCTTCCAATATGACTATTGAATGAGCCCTTACAAACAGCTAATGGTTGGTAGCTTCCATAATACGTTAGCTATATACAGCTAGACAGCACCTAGCGTTAGGGTTTGAAAACGAAGTCTATGTATGCAATTGGAAAGGAGATTTTCAGTGCGACTGTACTCTGTACGGCCATCAGATGAAAAGAGCTTAGTCATGTACAGTACTGTAACTCCGTTTTTTTAAAGTTCTGATTGGCATGTCTGAGCTGAATTCGTCATTTGCGTGCAAGAAAATTCTCGATTTAAGGTGGATCCTATCCGCAAGGAAATCGTATTTGTGCTTTGCAAGCATTTTTTGAACAAATCCCAGCTTCGGCTACTCTGGAGGTGCAAACTACTGTAGCGTTTCCACACTTTTTTTTTTTTCAGACTTCCTTGGCTCTATACCACATACGGGTCTAATATACTTGACAGAGAATATCGAAGAATGCATGATTTCCCTGTGTATGATTCTAGCCGAACGCCACTTTGACGGGTGGATCAACGGATGTGCTATGCTTGCATTAGGGGCTTGTTTCCAATGTCGATGCTTCTTAGATAGACTGAACTCAATTTACTTGCTCAGACAGACCCTTGAAACATTACTTGGGCGCCTGAATCAGCATTTGATCTAGAGCAGGGGTAGATTATTTCTAACTTAAGCTGAACTTCAATTGCCGCTCAGCTGGAGGACTCCTTCACTCGCCTACTGGAACTGAATCATATCAGATAGAGTGCTGCCTTGATCTAGAATCCTAGGTCTTTTTAAACCGGTCATTAGACGTTAATTGTGTAATAAGCAGTAGTTCAGATGTGGGTTGTTCAGCTTGATACGCCGTTTACGGAAGTTGATTGTTCAAGTTGATTGCATGGATAAGTGGGTCCTTCAGGTACCGAAGAATACTATTTAAAGAATTGAGTTTTTTAGGTTTATGGTCATCTAAGCCGTTTAAAGAACTGGGTTTATAGGTTGTTCAAGAATTGTTGGATTAGCTAAGCTGATTCAACCAATCAGATAGAGGAGATTTGTCAGCCAATAATAGCGAGCCACACACGGATCCACCGAATAGGGGGTAAAAGATATCTTCCACCTGGACTGTACTTAGAGACAAGAACAAGAACAACAAGGATCAAGGATTCCCACATCTTGTGCATACATAATTTGATACGTTGAGATAAACCGCTAGAGATTGTTACATACAATCTAACAAGAATTGCTTAAAAAGTGGGTCGTTTAAAACAGTTTATTTTAACGACCCACTTTTTTAAATAATTCATGAACTTGAATAATCCACCATTTTGAACAGTTTATTCAAATGACCCACTTTTGAACGAGTTAAGAAACTTAGAGGATCCACCTTTTAAACAGTCTTTTTAAACAGCCCCACATGTTTAAACAATTAACGAACTTTGAACAATCAATCTTTTAAGGCCGTGAACCCGCAGGCCTTATTGAGCGCCGTACGTATACGCTCGCTCGTCCGGACTACTGGTTATTCCGCTCCGAGCGTCTATAGATTCGTACTCCATCCTATGGATATCCTTAGTCCTACTTAGATATCGTACCTATGAATCGTACTGTTTGAATAGCGATCTTACGAATCACTATACGGCGCTGTAGCACGCCGTCGATTCGTACGCGAGCTGGTCGGGATTACTATTCTCCGTGCGCTAGAGCGACCAACACCATATAATGTATCTAGGCACCCCGCCCCCCCTAGTTTCGGGGGTCAGTCTTTTTTAATATTACATTTCGTGCTATATAGCAAGGCTCACCACGTAGGGCAGTTGGATCGCCCTAGCTTACGATATCCTACGCTTCGTGATACGGGACGTAGCTAAACTAACACTGATCAGTGGCCGCAGATCAGACACCTGATTTGAGCCAAAAACCCGAACCTTTTCCCTTTCGATAGACGTTCATTCGTACATCGAATTCTTGATATAACCAACCCCTTATATCAACCCGACAATGGCCCCAAATACGAATCCAAACGAATTCGACCCTGAGGGCAAGAACCGGACCCAACGTGACACATACGTTGAAGGGAAGTTGAAGAAGTATAAAGAGGCAGAGGACGTGGTTCTATGGGCTATATTCAAACAAGACTTTGAAAAATGGAGCCTTAACCACCTCTGGCAGACGTCTTTTCTACTGCTCAGCAAGCTTATCACTTTACTTAAGAGCAACGGCATGTATGTTGACGATACGAAAGGTTATCTTATTACTGAAAATGTAGCAACAGCTGCCGCCCAGCGAGAGCCCCATGAGTGGACCAAAACTGAGGTTATTGCACACCTCCGAAAGGGTAGGACCTTCGAATCATCAGATATAAACACCAGATTCACGTCCGTAATCACTGCTAATACCCAACCGCAAAGAATTGTTGCAACGACCCCCGAACCAGAATCCCACCTTTGTACGGTCCCGGATACGCCTACATCATACCAAAGAGCTTATACTGGAGTTGTAACAAGATTAAGGTCAGACTTAGACCCGGCACTATCATTAAATGCAGCCCCAGAGACACCATACCAAGCGACAAGATTTTTGACCCCATTCACACCAGCCCTAGCATCTCGTACAACCGCAGGAATAACAGCCCAGCTACATGGCATCCCTGAATTGCAGGAGCAATAGAATATTAACACACAAAGCCTACGGCCGCAGCCACAATATACAGCTATACAAGCAATTATAAATATCGGTAAGAGCTATAACAGTGCATCCGAGCTTAAATATAAAGGCTCTGGTGACTCATTCAAAAGGAAGCTGAAGATCTTCTATGGCTATTGCCGTCAGAACGGACTGCCCAACACCCCCAAATCGTATAGAGAAGCACTACCACACATGCTCAGGGACGCAGCCCTTAGCTACTACTGGGACAACATCAACCTATGGATCGTACAAGGAAAGGATCCAGCGGAAGAGATTATCACTCGCTTCAAAGGACCAGAGCACCAGTAATCTATAAAAACTGAATGGTCCGCCACAACGCTAGCCAGTACAATCCAGGCCAACCCAGAGAAATCAGTGTATAAGTGTCTCAATTTAATGCTGGTGCAACTATAAGATTTATTTTATTACCTACCGGACGAGCTACAAACACAGACATACTGGCACATAAAGCTACTTGAAGCAACGAGCACACATCTAGCATGTGACTAGGCTACAGCAAAGCCAGCGCCAACTATACCAGGCCTAATTCAGGACCTCTAATTGAACGTGAGACAGTATAAATGTAAACAACAGAGTAATATTCATGGTATCAACTTTATAGACTGCCGCTACAATACCCGTCAGCCGTCACGTTTACCGCACCGAGGTTGTTCATCATATAGGCAAGGCTGCTCACAAGAATAAAGTAACTCACGATACCCGAGTCGCTCACTGCGCCGCTACTCCTGAGATCATGCACCGCAGGTTTGCCATGTCTGTAAGAAGCCGGGCTGCTAGTCTACAGAGCATACTGAGGAAGAACACCGAGCCACTAGGAAGCCATACGAAGCTATAATAGACCAATATATTGTACAAAAAGAAGGCAAAAAGGACACCAGCAAAAGCTTCGAATCATACCTTACTGAGATTGACAAACCCAGCCAATATAATCTCCCAGACCGCGAGAAGGTTGAGCCAGGCATAGCAACAGGATACTTCACAATCACCACTACAGATTATAATAAATTCTCACCCTGACTCGCAGCCGAGCTCGCTAATCGTTCTGCAGCGCACTATCTCTCATGCCTACTAGGCAGTCAACAAGACTGTATAACGGACCTAGGCTACAATAAAAAAGACGATACCGAGCTCACATCAATCTTTCAGCATCTAACTGTACCCGAATATGCCTTTCTCACAGAGGACCGATACTCGTCAAACACGTTCATGGGACTACTTATTGATACTGGTGCTGCGGAGATCTTAACGGCTGGATACGCCCAGTATCTCGCATATCGAAAAGTCGCCAAGAATATTACGATTGATACCTTAACCACCAGAGCAGCAAGCATCAGATTCAGTGCTGGTGAACCGTTACAGTCCCTAGATTCAATTGATATAAAGACCCCAATTAGCACCGTACAATTCCATATTGTCAAAGCCATGACACCTTTCCTACTCTGTATCAAGGATCTTGACCACCTCAAGGTTTATTATAATAACACGAAGAATCTCCTTGTTCGCAATGAACCGTACATGACTGTATTAGTTGTACGATGATTTGGTCATCCTTTTCTCATTTGGGATTACTCCCTTGTATTGTACATCATACAGTCCTTTGACGAAGACCAATGCTTTCTCACAGCCGCCAAACTATGTTATTTATACCGCCGATTTGGACATCCTTCTGTTGGACAACTATATAAAACCTTATTACGCGCAGGCTACAATACGAATCCCAAAGTGATAGAAAGGATCAACAAATTTTGCCACCATTGCCAGACGTACGGGAAATCACCTGGCCGCTTCCGCTTTACACTATAGGATGAGGTTGAATTCAACCATTCAATCATTGTGGACATCATGTATATTAATGGCAAGCCGGTGCTCCATATTGTGGACAAAGCAACACATTTTAATACTGCATGCTGGCTTACGAGCATATCCGCAAAAGCGACATAGGATGCACTATGAATGTTGTGAATTAATATGTACCTTGGCTCTCCAGATTTTATTATTACCGATGCAGGAAAGAATTTCGTGAGCAAAGAATTTATATAGCTCGCCTCATCTGTTAGTATGATTACAGTCAACGTTCCTGTCGAAGCACATTGGTCAATTAGTATTGTTGAACGTTACCATACTGTACTATGTCGCTCGTATGAGATCATTTCAGAAGAAGTGCCAGAGCTTGCACCTGAAATGGCGCTTCAAATGGCCATCAAAGCTGTCAACAATACCGTAGGTCTAGATGGCTACGTTTCTACACTTCTTGTCTTTGGAGTGTACCCCCGAATGACGGACTATAGTCCTCCCGCATCCACAGTCGTTCAACACGCTGCTACAGTCAAGAAAGCAATGACTGAAGTACAAAGGCTTCACACTGTACGCCAAGTCAACAACGCGCTCAATATTCGCAATGGACCATCGTCTACGCTCGTGCACTGTCTTTCTCTCAATTTAGACATGCTTATATAGCGTGAAGGTGGGACTGGATACCCCGGCAAATAGAAAGGACTGTACAAGCTTATATCAATTGATAGAGAAATGTGCACCGTGGAGCTCCCCAACGGACCTACAAAGTTTAGGTTAACTGTTGTCAAACTATACTATAAAGATAACGATTTAGAGCACAAAGATGACGAGCAGCTAGCTCCAGAGGAAGTACCACCTATAGCACCGTCAAATACACCAACTCCCACACCTCAAGTCGCTACACCACCGTCCAAGCCTAATAACGCTAAAGCATAACCGTCACGTCCTCAACGCGAGCACCGTTTACCGTCTCGTTATCGAGATGACCTCACGTACTTACAAGAGATTGACGACACGTGCTTAAAGGAAATCGCGGATATCTTCACCCAACTTGTATAGCTCACTGGCGATGGCCAGTTCGACGAATTGCGCCGCAAAGAGGTTACCAGACTACTGGAAAGAGGCGTATTCATGGCCGTCAATTAAGAGGATATCCCGCCAGATGCCCGCATCTATGGCTTCAGGTTCGTTGATGAGGTCAAGAATAAAGGCACCGACAAAGCGTTCGAGAAATCGCGGCTCGTCGTACAAGCCTATAACGATAAGGACAAAGAATTTGTACTAACGCAGTCACCTATGATTCAGCGCTCTAGCCAACGCTTGATTCTCTATATCGGGATAAGCAAAGACGGAGTATAGTTCTAGATCCGCGACGTCACGCAGGCCTATATATAGTCGATGATGAAGCTTAACCGCAAATTTTACATTCAAATACTACCCGAATTGTGTTACTTTTTCCCCAGCTACAAATTCTTGAAAGTTGTATGGCCATTATATGGCATCCCTGAAGCAGGCAACCACTGGTTTCACACCTACCATAAGCACTATACCAAGCAACTTGGCATGGAGACCTCCACGTACAATCTATGCCTCCTTCACTGCTGTGATCTGGAGCAAGAATTTGGTGTGATCAGCATGCAAACGGATGACACACTCATTATTGCTGACGAAGCCTTTACCGCATGAGAAGAAGAGTAAATCAAATGTGCGAATATCCTTTGTAAGCCCCGTGAACAGCTCACAACTGGCAAATCGCTACGATTTAATGGTGCGGTAATTACAGAGGATGCCCAGGGTATTACTCTTACCCAAGAACGCACCTGTAAGAACATTCGGCTCGTACAAGATCACCCTTCGGATACGGTTAGCTCCCGTGGCAAGGTTCGCAAAAACGCATCTCCGCACGAACAGTACGTTGCCCAACGAGCCCTTGGTGCGTATATTGCTTCCGTCTCACAACCCGAAGCCTCGTTCGATCTATCCTTCGCAGCGCAAGCTACACAACCGGGAAAAGAGGATATAAAGGCGCTCAATAAACGACTTCAATGGCAGATTGACAATTCCACCCGCGGGCTACGGTTCGTCAAGATCGATCTACGGACTGCAAAACTGTACGCATTCGTTGATGCTTCGTTTGCCAATAACAAGGACTCTTCTTCCCAAATTGGCCACGTTATCGTACTCGCAGACGCACGAAATAATGCGAATATCCTCCATTGGTCCTCCACCAAGTGTAAGAGGATTACCCGAAGCGTGCTCGCTTCAGAAATGTATGGTATGGCCAATGGATTCGATGCGGCCGCAGCAATCAAATCAACCCTCACCCAGCTGCTGCATCTTTCGGAGCCGCTCCCGCTAGTCCTTTGCACCGACTCGAAGAGCCTTTACGAATGCCTCGTCAAGTTGGGTACGACCCGCGAAAAACGCCTCATGATCGATCTCATGTGCCTCCGTCAATCGTACGAACGACAAGAGATCACGGAGGTGAGATGGATCAACGGCAACAGCAACCCTGCCGACGCGATGACCAAGAGCAAGCCCTGTCGCGCTTTACAAGAGCTTATCGATACGAACAAGCTACGCATCGACGTTGACGGTTGGGTCGAAATAACCCTAGTGTTTCTATTTGTATATTTAGCTGAGCTAAAAGCGAATAAAAAAAATAAAGACGTTGGGACTGGATGTTGGACTGGAAAATCCAGATTGGCCGCCAATCTGGAACACCGATGATAGTTTCGGCGACGATGGAGAAGTGACAGACACTTCAGAAGTAGCCAATGAAATGCTAAGCTGCTGACTGCAAGCTCTAGAAGTTCTTGATACGGAAGCTGGGCTGTTGTGCTACAGATATGTCTAGTGATTTTGATTCAATGTAGCTTATCAAATATATATTGTGTAAATGAAAGAAGACAATAATTAAGCGAACTGATAACTCTGTACCGTATGCCAGCTCCGAGGCCACCAAGTGATTTTACGTAGTGTCTCTTGATTACTTCGCCTCACATTCATGGTGAACAACTTTGGCGAAACATCTGCATCAACAAGGAATCCATATTCCAAAGTAATTTCATCACCATCTTGTAAGCCAGCTTCTGCCGCCCTTGACTGGAGGTCTAAACCATTAATTACCCGAGATTCACTGGAGAGATTTTCCTCTGGAAACCCAAGATAGAATTCCTCTTGCGCCACTGGCTCAAGCTTCCATTTGCTGTTTGAAATCCAAACTCCAGCAACGTCCGGTGAGAGTATCATTTGTTTTCCGTTGGACATATCCTTATAATCCTCTAGTGCCATAGATCCCAGCTCTATTTCTATAAGCGACAACCATACATGAATCCCATGAGGCTGGTTCGCTGCGCGTAATTTTATCATTTTTCTAATCAAGTCATCAAGCGGTCTTTTACCCAAGTTGTGTAGTTTATAGGCAAGTTGTACAAAGTACATAAACCCGCGCTGATATGGAATCCGATGCACGCGTCCAGGAAGCCAGAATCGATCTTGCACATCTTTATTATGCACTGCACGATCAGGGTTTGTGTAATAGCCTGAAATACGCCAGTTAAACCGTTGTATAAACTGATCTTCTGTCAAGATGCTGAATATATAAGGCAGGATCAAAGAGTAGTACTCTGCAATGCCTTCATTGAACCATCCATCTATAAGATCCTCAGGTCCGCCAGTCGTAAATCCAAGACGCGGCCAATTGTGAACGATTTCATGCATGAGAAAATCCTGCACTATATCTTCATCCTTGGGACAGAGCGGAGTCCAAGAAAAGACAAAACCCTGGTACAGACCAGGCCGGAAGCGCACTTGTACTCATTGCGTCGAATAAAGACTTGGAATAGCTTCTCATCATCTCCAAAGAACATTGCCATTCGCGGAACCAGCTTCTGCAGTTGTTTGCCCAAAGTATAGGCATTGAATGGAGGTTCTGAGAGCCAGTATATCCTGAATGGCGAATCAACAGCAGCAGCAGGATAGCGGGCCACCAGCAAAAAAACACTCGGAAAGAATAGATAGTCTTTCATGCACAGCAACCCGCTGCCCTTCCCCAAATGTGCACGCAACTCTTGTAGCTGATGGTGCAAGTGACAGGTCCCACTCGATTACAATATCATGCACAACATCGCTATTTCCATCGCCTGCCGATGGAATCAGCAGAAGCGCTAACCCAGCACCGCTGAGGCCCCCATTGTCTTTCTCCATGGCAACTGGGGGACCACAGCTTGTATAGGCATTTACTTGCCGTGGAGTTGCTTGATACTGTACAGTTAATCTCTCACCAGTAGATATGTCTTCCTCAACACGGAATTCACGATGTGTGCTGCGTTCGGTGTCGACAGTATACAGCCTAATAACTGATTTATGACTGTCTGTCAGTCGCACAGACTGGGCTGTAAACTGTGTAGTGGGCACATTTGCGCGCTTCAGTGTGTAATTAAAAAGGATGTCGCCTTTGGTTTTTGCGTATGTAGTGAAGAACATGGTGATATCAATGACTTGCGCCGCGCCTTCACTATCGAACACCGGTCGAAGGTTCACACTCAGAGCAGCCATTGTGGTAGGAATATATATTTTATAGAGTTTTGAAATTGCAAATGTAAGTTTCAATCGCGATGAGTAGTGCCTCTATGAAAGCTTTCGATAAGTTTCGCCGTGGAATGTGGATGGATTGGGGACGCAAATCGATGTGTCACCTCTCAGAGTTTAATATACAGATATATAGTACGAATACAATACAAAGATATGATACAATACGTATTGTAATCTAACACATGGTGCGATTGTAATTACAAGAATGCCCGACCTCCCGAATTTGAAATGCAGCTCTGATTCCCTCGCGCCCTGCATAATGTCGGATTAGTCGGTTTATTCCAGGCCAATCCTGAAGAGTGTTTTACTAGGATCAAAGAAAAGAAGTGACTAGCAAGATTGTATGTATTGAGTTCTGTATCTCTCTCTCCATTAGGTTTCAAAGCCGGGTCTTTTATAGACACTTTTGGCGGGGTGATTTGTGAGTCATCAAGAGGGGTAAATTTTGGGGGCTATAAGATAGGGCTTCTGATTGTTCACTTCCTTTTACTGCCTCCAGATATCCGAATTATCTGACACTGTCTTGCTGGATATCCGGTTTATCTAACACATAACGCCATTAAGAGACTGTCAGCCGCACCTCTCGGCGTATAATCACATAAGACAGATAAGCATGTGAAAATGCACCCACAGTGCCGCATATTGATTAAGCAACATATGTATTGGCAGGCCTGACGCGTATAGTATATACGCGTTACTTTTGACAAGGGTTGGAGAACTAGTCCTCCAGAGAAGGGAGTCAAGAGCAGGGAATTGGAGCCATCCATGCTGCCAGCGTGCCTTGGTAATCTTCCGACATCGAGTCTTCGTTTCAAGTTGGTGGATTTGCAGGCGAAGTTGGCCGTGGGTCTCAACGTGGAATTGATGGTTTTCTACGCCCTCTCTCTGAAAATCAGAAATAGCTAATAAGATTCAGCCTTCTTGCTCAATCAAACCTTTTGACTTTTAATTGCGATTTGGGGGCATATTGACGTGTTGATTTACTTGAAATCAATATCGCGTACGCGTTTGGGAAAAGGTGGCGGCTCGCTTGTGGATTACGTTAGGGCATCATAGTATCCGCTTACAAATTGTCAAGTGGCTTTTAGTCTAGTGGCATTGGCGATTCTTTTAACTGCTGCCTTCGTGCCTCTCATTCCTTCTGGTATATATATTCTACCGCACGTCTCATAAATTGCTAGAGCTTCATACACAATATGGCCCAAGCGCACGAACACTTCATCCAGTCCCTATGCGACCTCCAAGTTCCAAAGACCCTTCAGCTCTCCCCGGATCGCTCAAGTGTCCTTTACTCGACCGAACTCTCTTGGGGTCATCGTAAAGGGAAACACCCCGTCTCCACCATCTGGCTGGCCTCCACCGGCCGTGCAGACTCTTCACGACAGCTCACCCGAGGCCTCTTTCGCGACTATGCGCCCGCATGGAGTCCGGACGGAAATGCGGTGGCCTTTGTGTCAGATCGTGCTGATGCCGGCTCCAAGTGGGCGATATATCTCTTATCATTGCAAGAGGGCTGCGAGGCGTATCCGATAACGCCAGAGACGAGCGCAAGTCCGATCGAAGCATTCGCCTTCTCACCGGATGGCAGCCGCATTGCGTTCCTCTCAGCCGACGAGGATATCCAACTTGCCTCAGCAGGAGACGGCCCTCCCGACGTGCAACCCTGGGGCGAGACTTGGCGATTCGCACGCCTGAGGGTCGTCGACTTGCGTACCAAGCAAGTCCGCTGCGCCAAACTGGACAGGCACGTAACGAGCGTCTGTTGGAGCCCGGATGGGACTCGCATTGGTTTCTCAAGCTGCCTATCACCTGATATCGAAGAGTCTCACATCACAGGGACGACTGTCTCAGCTATTGACGTCGACCTTAGCTCCGTGGAAGACGTGTGCCACTTTCCTAAAATGGTCGTTGACCTGTCATGGGCTGCGGACGGGAGTCTATATTTTTGTGGAGGTGTGCCTCCCCACAAGATGTTCGCTGGCTATGGCGTCTATCGTACTAATCCTGCCACTGAATCGCACCACTATGAGTGGGTGGGATTTGGGGTTGAAGATGACTCCATCGGCCTCGTCCAGCGTGGAAGTGGCACAATTTTCGTCAAGGTGCAACACCGGCTAGAGTCTCGCGTGTGCCTACTTGACGGCACAGTGCTATACAGTAGGAAGGAGGAGCTCGAAGCATTCGACTCCGCAATTGAAACTGACGGCAAGTTTGTTCTAGCGGTTGCGACTTCAAACATCAACCACCCTACGGAGGTCTTCACCACACTCTCGTCCGGCGGTGACGCGATGACACGAATGTCGAATCACGGACAAGAGTTCGCAGGCCATCGCTTCGGGACGTGTAGCTTTTTAACATGCACTTCCGCGGACGGCGAGGTCGAGCTGGATGCCCTCTATTTGACTCCGGCCTCCTCGTCAGACGGCGCCAACCGTCACCCACTAGCAACCGTGGTGCTTATCCACGGCGGACCCAACACGCGCCTCACCAACGCCTTCAACACATACTACTATATGCTTACCCCGTATTTGCTGTCGCTCGGTTACGGAATTCTACTGCCGAACTACCGTGGAAGTAGCGGGCGTGGGCGGTATTTCGCGTCCTACTCCATCGGCGGGCTTGGCGTGTACGACTACTCCGACGTGATTGCGCTCACCCAGTGTGCGATAGACCAGGGCTATGCAGACAAAGAAAGACTCCTAGTGGGTGGTTGGAGCCAAGGCGGGTTTCTGACAAATCTCTGCTGTGTGCGCAACGACCTGCATTACAGTGGCTGGCGATTCCGCGCCGCCGTTTCCGGCGCCAGCATCTGCGACATCGATGCCATGGCCTTAACCTCCGACCTCGGTTGTGCCTTCGAGCCCGAGCTCTCGCGCGGCGGCGTAGCCTGGAACATGGACTACGACGATACACGCAATCGTGCCCCAAGCGCCCTATGGGCATTCAAAGACGCCGCACGGCGGGCTTCTCTCAAGAACGCTCCTGTTGTGCCACCGATGCTGATTCTGCACGGTGAGGCGGACGCCCGGTGCCCTGTGTCGCAGGCTTGGGGACTGCGTCGCGCTCTACGCAGCTACGGCTTGCCTTTTGAGCTGGTCACTTACCCATCCCAGGGCCATTTTTTTGAGGAGCAGAAGTATTGGGTAGATATGGCGCTCCGGATCGGCCGATGGTGCCAGAAGTACATCGGTGATGCTTTGGCATAAAGCAGTTCCCATAGCATTCGTTGTATAGTTGACTCCCTTGTTGATACTCCAGTGACAATAAGCGCCAGGAATTACGTTCGAAGAAGAGGTTCATCTCATTTAATATGGTACCGTGTGTGCAGCCACTAAGCAAATGGCACATTGACCAGGTTTCGAGGAGACCTGTTGAGATTTGATACATGTGTACAAGACAGGCCACTCAATAAAGCTAGCATCATCCTCCATTGCTCGAGATCATTTTTCCTTAGCTACAATATTCACGTCTCCTGGATACATGTTTTCTTCGAACCGTTCAACGTCCAATAGTTGGTATGGTTTACCTCTGTCACTAGCGCTCCTCTCAATATTGTGCGTTTATAGAACCTGACACGATTCGCATTTCCATGTGTGGACCTTGCGTGTTTCTGTTTCATGTCCCAAATCATTGATGGCGGCTCTGGACTGGAAAAGGTTGGCGCCCTCATCCTCGCAGGAAAATAGTAACTCCAGAGATGATAATGCGGTGCGCAATTCGTTCACGTCAATTCCGTCTGGGAAGAGTGGTGATTGGTTCAAATGCTGCATCATGTCTTTGATTGTGAAATCGTCAAGTTCCCAGTGAACTGGCGACAAAGGCTCGAGCGATACTACCGAAAGGCTGAAGCAGAGCAGCACAACCGTCTTCGTGCTACCAAAGGGCGTTTTCGGAGGTGACAGGTGTTGCGACTCTTCGGTTATCGTATTCAATCCCTCCGCTGAGATCTGTCTCAATTTGATAAGGATATATCGAAGCTGTTCTCGCAAGTCTCGTGCGGATACTCGAAGGTGACAAGGGTCTTGAATCAGGACGCTGCGGATCTTTTCCCAGATTCGGTCCATGTGAATTCCACGACGTAAGTTCGGAGAGTCTATCAGATCCAACGCGTGGCTGCCAGTCTTTCTCTTCACGCCGAAGGATATCTAGTATCTGACGATCATCCCCTATCCGGTAAAGGAGACAGGATCGGAGGAACATATACGTTGTCACAAGAAGTACCTGAGAGAATGAGAGGCGGCGAGGAATAGAGCATGCGCTTCAAAGGGTGTGAAAAGCTGGGATGAATCCATGATATGATCGTGATGGCTGATGTTCTTGTGTTGAGCAACGGGGAGGAGCGTGCTTTATAGCGCTGCGGGCCTCCTTTGAGCCTGGCCATAGCCTCATTCCACCAGCAGAATAGCTCGGAATGCATACCCTACACCACGACGTCAACGTTCGCAACTCGGAGAGAATACTTTCTCACGCCTATCAAACCCTCTTGGCTTTGCTTTACCATATATTACCATATTGCTGTTACTCTTAAACAAGCTCTTGCTCCTTATTCCGAGCCCGACTTATGCAATTATATCGCATATAGTCTGACAATACATGGTTCCTTCCACTTAGTATCTCCATGATGGCCTAAACCTTTCAATCGTAATCTTTGCTCCTGGGGTTTCAATTAAATCCTGGTATTCTTGCCAGTACAACCTTCTCCAGCCGTTCACGTCAAGTTCAATGCATAATGTTGCTGTTTTCAAATCGCATTCCTTGTAGTGGATGCTAATCACTTTGGTTACTCGCATGTCCTGCAAATGGGCACAGACATTAGAGCCTCCTTCATGCTGGATTGGAGTATAAGGAGCTCTGACCTCTCTATTTGTATCTTCTGCTCCAATGGACAACCCTGTGGTACTGCAAGGCGTATGTTGCATGTTTTTGGTCTTGCGGTGTCGCGAGCTGATGGTTTCGTTGCAAGTGCAGCCTCTGCCAGGTGTGATAATGTATTTCTCCCTTGCTTCTAACTGCTCTTCCGCGTTCGCTTGAGATGGTGGATAGGGTTTGACTTGGCTGTCTCGACCCTATGTTCTGTCAGATTTGACTCTCTGGAGAAACCTGAAATCTACTACATACCTTAGAGAGTCCTAGGCAGGCAATGAATTGCCTAAAGAGGCCCCGGGAGAATGGTGAGCTGTTTTCGCGGTTACCAGCCATGGTTTTAAGTGAGAAATGATATTTCTGGTATCTTGTGGGGATACTTCGAGGAAGCAACAGGGTCGAAGACTTTATATGATACGTCTATTTCCCGGATCGCGCACTAAATGTGACCAGCCTTTAGGGGCAAGTTCCTATCGCAAAGCTGAAATAGTTCTAGATCCTCACAATGGGCCTTTGGGAATGCATTCTACCCTATACCCCTTTTCCTATCTGAGTCAGCGGTCAAATAGGGTCTGAGTGATGCAAGATAGGTCTTCCCTCCTCACGCACCGACAATGCCAGCTCGTCGGAATCGACCGGCCACAGCGGAGGTCCTACCTCGTGACCTCTCCTCTCAGATGGCGAAATATCTCAACTTTCTGCGAATTGGCCTTGCCCCTGCCATCTTGGAACCGATACCTGGCCGGGCCTACAGTATGATCGACTCGATTGCAACTGGAGAGGATTTGCGCTCATGGATAATATGACTGCGGACTATGCTCTGGTGGGCCTCTTTGGCTTCTGCGGAAGAGGAGTGGCAACATTTGCATGGGGTAGAGCGACCCCATCCAGGTAGCAACCTGCGCGGTGTCTGGTCGATGCCCAGTTTTCTCCGCCACATAGGGCGGTCGAAAGACCACAACGTTTCTCATGCTATACAGCAGGAATGAAAGCTAAGAAGGTTTAAGAGACAATTGGGAACTGGGGTGTCCCTTCTACTAGTTGCGGTACTACCTACTTTCAGACGTCTCAGTCTCAAGGAGGAAACCAGAACTATCCAGCTCCTTGGGACCACGGCACATACCCATATCATCCACGTCGCGTAAATTGTCTCGCCTTTATATTCTCAGTATATGTACCTACATGAATACCGGTCGGTATGAACCCTTATCTCACTCGTTTCTCGTCGCTCATCCTCGCAAAATAAGCAGGTCTCGCCTTCAAGACAGTCTATCTCCTATGGCTAGATCGACACGAACGGAAACACTCTTGGAGACAGCATATTGAGCCCCATGGAGTTGGCACTGTGCCCTTGCCAGACGAATGAGCCCCCAGAACCATGCGAATCTTCCGTGGGTAGAGTTTCAGAGATGGAGACAGACCAAGAGATCGGTTGGGCAGCTTTGGGACCCTAAAAAAGGAGGTAGCTATTCGGCTCTTATACCTTTATGGGATTTGTTAGAGACAGGGTATTTGCATCTATGCTAAGGAAACAGACTCAAGATCATATTTTCTATCATGAAAAGAAAAACAAAACGAAAAAAAAAAAAAAACTCGAACAACTTAAGCAAATTTAAACATCCCAAGGCGCTGGGCCAAGCCCACGCCGCCAGCTGTCATAAACAGCAAACTTTTCTCCCGCACGAGGAAGCATGTTATTGTGAATCGTGCGGTCATCACTCCGCAATGTTCCAAACAAGATTCTCATATCTTCTCGAAAATCGGTCCACTACGTGGCTGCCGATCCCTCGCGGCGTACGTCTCTATAGTGCCTCTCAACCCTATAGACCTCTTGACCAAGACGCCAGAGGCAGTGGCACTGATATATCATAATCATATTAGATCTTGACCTTCATTCCATACATAGAGATTCGACTGCTTGCGTTGTATTCACGTACCCAGTGATTGAAGTTGGGTTGAATTGTCAAATCAAACCCGCCAGGAGGAGGAACGGCCGTTGGAGGAAGGAACGTAGGGCCAGGGGCGGGAGCAGGAGCATTGGACATGTTGGTCGATCTATCAATGTATACTGTCAGCTCCGAAAATTGATCTATTTAGTATCGTAGTGGATGATTGCTTCATTGGCAAAGGATGTACACTGTCAAAAGATACTTACAAATGGTTATTGCTGCTGCTGCTGTTTCAGTTATTGAAGATGAGGCTAGAGAGGGGAAAGAAGAAGAGAAAGGAACCAGCCAGATTGACCTGCATCGTTTCTGTGCGAACTGTTTTGCCCGGTTGCCCTAAATATATTGAAGCCAAAGTCCTTCCTTCTCTATGTTTTGGCTACCTACTGGAAATCACCCTTATCGTTAAACCACCCAGCTCCACGACTGACAGCGAAATGATTACTTGGCCAAGCCTAATATAAACATTGAACAGAGTCATTATACGCAGTTTGAATTCAAAATCACAAGTTTTTGTGGGAAATATCTACCTATGTACATGGCGGTTTAGCACTGATAACTTCTATCCGCAGAAACTATTGACCAAGTATTAGGGCTTTCTATCAGCTCTCCAATCAGATCGTATCATTCACGCGGATATGCATTCCAGCCCCACTTTTCATCAAAGAAGCTTTTATCATTGGTTGGATGGGAACTCTATTGCCAAAAGGGAAATCGGATCATATTTCAACATCAAAAATCAATGTCATCCATTGTGATCATAACTAGTTACCCAGCAAGAGACTAGCAATGGAGCCTGGTGATTGAAATAATCATCCCTATACCAAACCCGACTCCCAAAACCGAATGCGTTGGCTTTCGGTTAGACAACATCATGGACGCTGTACGTATAAATCTTGATTGATTGATTGATTGATTGATTGATTGATTGATTGATTGATTGATTGATTGATTGATTGATTGATTCATACACGCATCTAAGCCTAGTGGCCGGCGGCGCCTTCTAATTGGGCAGCGGGCGTACTACCGTATAAAAGCATAAATCAACGTCAACGTGCCAAGACGCTTCCGGCTTGACGCTGACTTAGTCAACTCCACGCGAAAGTCTCGACACGTATCCGTATCCAGATCCGAAGACCACCAACAACAGATAACGAGCGAACAGAACGCCGAACCAACAAAGGAAATGTGTATATATACAAAATGAGTGAAGGATCTCGGTGCGGGGTGACGTGATATTTATGTTTTGGTGCCCGGTTCTATTTCTAAACGTGTCAAGTGGCTGATCTGTCCAAGCCGAATCAACATGGTTACTCTTCATCAGGGTAGTGTCGCACTCACTGTGAGCGCGTGGTTGTTAAGGGGGTTACGTGATGGAACTGCGTTAATAGACCAGTCCGCATTATAAATTCAATACTCTGCCGAACCCACTGAGGTTCGCTAAGGAGCTTCCGATAATCTGTTTCGCGTGCTTCTTTCCAGAGAGTCTCCATACGCAGGTTTATATGGGTAGGACACCGTATGAGGACGTGGGCCGTATCCTGATCCCCAAGGCCACATTCGCATTGAGGTGAGTCTTCAATCTGTACACTCGCTAGGAAGCTGCGTAGCGCTAATTTATCTGTTTGTAGTTGGATTAACACTGAACTCCAAGCCCGTCGTAATCCCTCGTGCAGCTGCAACACCATCTTCGTTGGTGCTTTGATTATCTGATAGAGATGCCGTCCATGGTTGGCATGCTCCCACTGTTCCTTCCACCTCTTTGCAAAGCCTGCATGTAGCCTCTGGCGACACACTGCCATAAGGATAGTTGACTGATTTGGAATATACGACATTCGTGCGGCGTGTGGTGTAGTCTGATTGGGTGCGCTGATCCTGGCTATGCGGGCGTTCTCCTGTGTATGCCGTGTCGCCTCGACTGCAGCCAACTTTGCCAGCTGGTCTGCTTTCTCGTTGCCTGGGACCCCTTCGTGGCCTGGCACCCACTGTAGTCGTACACGCCATCGAGATCGGTTGTCGCGTAGGAGGCCCAGGTGTCGTACGATCCGTCGAAGGATATACTGCCCAGAGGACCGCCCTGGCTGGCACGTGGCGCGTATTGCGGCTTGATTATCTGTGTAGATTGTGGCTTCGTGTGGGTTGTCGTCGCATGGCTGGCTTCGGAGTAGGATTTCCAATGCCGCATTGATTCCCTCCAGTTCCCCTGCATAAACAGTATGTGTGTCAGATGAGCCTACTAGCTTATAAGCCTGTCCTATTGATGAGTAGACCGCTGCCCCAATCCCATTGTCAAAGCCGCTCCCATCGGTAAAGAACTATATTGTTGTATCTGTTCCTGAGATTGCTTTAATAGCCTTGATAGCCTCCTCACGGGTATTGTCAATCCTTGCTTCTGGTGGCTCCCACCACGGTGGTACTACAAAGGGGTAGATTGTCTCGATGCGTTGACTAGTATCACTCCCCAGTTTACGGTCGATGGCTGTTTCCAATCGATGAAGTGGTGACGTGTATGGGTCGTTACAGTGGGCTTGGCCACGTATTTGGTAAAGCGTAGATCGAAGTGGTGAGGTCATGATCTGCAGGCAGGCCTCCTCAGCCAGCTTTGCGAGCGTGAGCTCTGCAGGTGGTACATGGAGACAGACCTCTAGGGCCTGTCATGACGTACGTTTGAACGCGCCGGATATCTGGTGAAGAGCCTGATCCTGGATCGATCGGATGGCTTGCTCTGCAGCTCGCTGCGCACCGGTGAACCCTCTTCCACCTCGTATATACCATGTGGAGCACGCGTACATGATCTGTGGTTGGAGGACAGCCATGTATATCTTCCTTAGATGAACCAGGGGCGTTCCCCATGTCGATCCTGTGATTGAGCTTAATCCCGCCACCAGTTTTGCAGCCTTCTTTCTCATCTCCTGTACGTGCACTTCCCCAGTGAGGTGGGTATCCAGATAAACTCCTAGATATTTGATTGAGTCCGTAGGCTTAATTTCTACTCCCTTAATTATGAGAGGTACATCCAGCCTACCACTCGGCTTAGGCACCATTTGGTGCTTCCGCCAAAAGTGGGTAAGTTGATATTTGGCAGGCGCAAATTTAGAGGCATGTGTTCTCTCCCAGCGCTCTGCAACCTGGTGTACTTTGGTGAGTGTGTGGCAGTTGGCTGCGGCGGAGGTCCCATATGTCATGATGAAGATGTCGTCAATATATCCAAGTATAATCATGTCCGGGCACTCGGCGAGTATCTGCTCAATAAGATCTGCATTAAAGAATAGGAATAGGATTGGTGACAATGGGGAGCCCTGCGGAATGCCTGTATTAACTAGAAATTCCCCCATATTGCCCTCTAGGAGTGTGATTGACGTGCGGCGATTGCTTAGAAAGCTCTCAATCCAGCCAATCAGGTCATCTGGCACCTGGCGCTTTCGTAGGTCGTGTATCAGCCTTATATGATTGACATTGTTAAAAGCCCCTGCCGTGTCAAGTGTAAGCCCTGAGGCTACTCGTGAGCCCTCTCTCCACGCACTATGGGTCTCTTCTAGTAAGAGATGGATTGCTAGTTCGCATGAGCGGCCGCGACGTCCTCCAATATGTTGCTTTGGTAAAAGATTATATTGCTCCACTAGATAGCTGAGACGTCTGGCTAACACTGATTCTAGTGCTTTGCCAATCGTGCTCAGTAACGCTATTGGGCGGTACGCCTTTGGATCAGAGTAATCAGGCTTTCCAGGCTTGCAAAGGATGACTGTTGTCGACTTTCAGAAATGGTTAGGATAGTATTGTTGACGTAGACATGTATTAAAGAGATTAACAAGATAGGCCTCGATAGTAGGGAGCAGCCTTTGTAGGACCAGATTGGGAATTCCATCTGGCCCTGGTGCTTTGTCGGGCTTCACGTTGGTTACTGCCGTTCGGACTTCGTCTAACGTGATTGGTGGCATCGTATATGGTTTGGGATATCTATATTGTGGCCTAATATCTGACAGATCTGCCTCTGGGGGCTCTGGGTGGAGGACCTCTCGGAATAGGGCTGCTTTCTCCTTTGGGGCTGTGTAACTCATGTTATTGTAGTATAACGTTGGGATAAACGTGGCACATGGTTTGCCCCTATTGCGGACCCAATGGGCAATTCTCCAGAATCCATCTATTGACTCTGTTGCCTGCTCAATTCGTTGGCGATGTAGATCTTGTGCGAGCTCATTGGTGCGCTATTTCATCTCTTTCCTAGCCTCTGCGTAGTCCTCCCATGCCTGATCTATATTTATACGATGTGCGTGTCGTCTACACCTAGATACGTGGTGTTTAAGCTTCGCCATCTCTGGGGTGTAGCCCGCTTATGAGTAGATGCTGATCTATTTTGTAGGTGTCGCTTGCTCAGCTGCCTGATTGATTGCCTCAACTAGATAGCGGATTGCCTCATTGATTGCCTCATTGTCATTGAGCTCCCTTGGGTACCAATTATATATGTCCATCAGTTTAAGGAAGAGGTCCCAATCTGTTACATTCCACTGCTTGTGAATCAATGGAGGAACACATATAGCTGTAAGGTTAAATTGAGTGGAGATTGAGACATGATCTGCTCCGTACCACCACTCTGGCTTGGTGTCGCAGCTTACTACCCGGTTGGCTAGATTGTGCGATGCCCACACTAGATCAATTGTAGATTTGGTGTTAACCCTCTCGTACGTGATTGTGCCTAATGGCAAGAGCTGCTTGAGCCCATGCTCATCCATAAGATTAATTAATTTGGTGGCCTTCTCATCAACGTGTCGGTACCGCGGGCCCGCCCACAGCGGGTGATGTTAGTTGAAGTCTCCTAATACAATATGCTGCGCCCTAGGTGCCATGGCGGTTTGCAGGGCGCTAATTATAGATTCCTCATTGCTATTGACTCCTGGATTATATACATTGTGAATATGGATGGTTCCATGGGTGGCTGTATGAAGTGTCAATGTGCTCAGATCTCTATTATGGTATTGGACCTCCCATGTGGCTGGATCTAGCCCTCTATTGATGTAGAAACAGACTTGTGGGCGTTTCTTGTATTCTTCCTTGGGTGTGGGCTGCAGTAGGATATGGAAGCTGCCCTTGAGCGCTAGTGAGTATGTTGTTAGTGGGTCAGTATGTTTGTTGATGTAGGGTTCCTGGATAGCCAGGATATCGTAATTTTGCACCTTGCTCTCACTAAAGAGATGCATCTGGACCTTGTCCCGCGATTTCCAGCAGTTAGCCTGCAGGATTTGTAGTCGATTGGTGTTATGATACATTATTGATTGTTAGTCTAGGTGCTGTCTTCAAGGTTTGTGGTCATTAGCGTATCAGCCTCCTGAGCTGGCTTGATTGGATCCTGAGGGGCTTCGTGGATTGATGGCTGGGTAAGTTCATCCTCAGATAAGTCATCGTCTAGGATCGTACACACACTCTTACTTTGGTGGACAGTCCTAACAGCTTGCATATGTGAAATTTCTAGTGGAGCAATATCTGATTGCAGAACCAGGGTTCCTGGTGGAGGCTTCGTATTCTGACGTGCACGTGTGTTATATGTATATTTGATCTGGGTCTCAGGTCCTGTCTTAGGTTCAGGATTAGGATCTGCATCTATAACTAGATCTTTATCCCACTGCGCTCTTATAGGCTTTTTCGAGGATCTATTGGTAGGGTCACCTGATGTAGGGCTTATCGGCTCGGGCTCAGATCGTTCTGCCACTCGTTTTTGGGCGGCTGCTGCGCTCTTACTTCTTGAATTGGCAGATCGACGTGTGGTGGCTGTACGAGCCGGTGCACGAGGACTTTGCTCTGTATTGGCTACTTCAGCTGGTGTAGGGTCATTTGGTGAGATGGCTCCGGGCTGACTATTGCCAGGTCGTATCACAGGAGTGTGATATTGTGGGCTGTATGTACGTCATTGATATGCCTCTGCGAGGCATGTAGCTTGTATCAGGCACTCCCTCGCGTACGCAAAGTGTTTCGTATTGAGTCTCTTGGCAGGATCTTTGATATAGACATTTTCTGCGGTGCAATTAGCACATTTAGTGTATTCTTTCTCTTTCGGTGTAGGGCAATCCTCTGTATCATGAGATCCAGCGTAGTACGCGCAGTAGATCTGGCGCTGACAGTGCCTGGTGATATATTTATATATCTGACACTTGAAGCACTGCTGGAGATTAGCTGCTTTGTCGTATATTGAGACATTATGCTGTCTTCCCTTAATAATAAGGCCGCGTTGGATTGCAAAATTAGCAATCCTTTCATCATCAAATATGACTACAAGGTGGGCATTTGTGAGCTTCTGTTCCTTGATCTTATACTCGCTTAGAAGCCAGCCCGTGTGTATGATATTCATAGAGGCTGGAAGCTGCGCGAACACCAGGGCGTTCTCTGAGATAAGCGTGGTTATGAATTGAGGCTGTTTGGGGTTAATATTTGTGTTGACGCCATGTATGACGACGCCCCATGTACATTTTTATATATATGCTTCGTTTCCGAATGCCCTAATCCAGTCCTTCTTGCGGGTAAGCTAGTTGACGTCGTCCACTGTGCCTAGTAAGAGTATAATATCGCCACTAGGTAGTATACAGGCTGCCGCAATTCGTTGATGTGCGATGGTGGTGTCTTGAGTGCTGTGTATTACGAGATTTGCCTTCTCCACCACCTTATCCGGGAATCGATATATCGGGTTGAGGATATTTGGATCGGTATGTTCCAGATAGACCTCTAGGTCCTCCTGGCTTGGATATGGGGTTGATGGCAAGCTTCCTCTACTACTCAATCCCACGCTAGGGACCGTGGGAGGGTTCGAGGGCACCTTACGTCCCCAGGCCTGTACGTACGACTCTGAGCTAGTTGTCACGTGACTGAAGCTTGGAGAATTTTTCACGGTATATGTCCCTGGGGATGTTGGGTGGCATATTGCCTCCACCAGGCGGTTCGTGTTGCTTTTGGTCGTAGTAATCTCTCGAGAGGCCTGAGATACCTCTTTCTGCGTCTTTTCCACGTGTAATTTGACCTTCGCGAGCTGCTGTGCTAGTTGCTCATTCGTAGGCGTATTCTTTACCCTTTGAGCCAGGTATAAGAACGCGTCAACCACAGAAGTAGAGAGCTCACGGGGCATGCCAATCTCCAGTGCTTCTTGGTGCTTCTTCAGTGCCTCGAGATCTTTGATGGCTGCAGCTACATATGCGCGTATATCAGGGTCATCTGCAAACCGTGATTCTGGCCACGGAGTGCCCTTTTTACCTCTTTTCGGGCCCATGCTTCAACCGCGTCGATTGAGCAGGCGAAAGTTGGTAAATATACTGTCAAGGAGGTCTATTTTCACTGAGATTCTTTCCAGCAGTACTTTTTACCTGCGTGGGTGCGTTTTCATAGGTGCGCGAGGTTTTTGCTATTCCATGATTGCAAAATTGCAGGTACGGTCAGCGAAGCTCTTCGAAACCTACATCACAACACTGGAGTAATTGTTCAGTAGGGTGGAGTTGCATTCTATTTGACTCTCCAACTGCTCGCTCTGTGCTTCTTTGTTGTGGCTTTAGCATTTTTTCTTTAGCCTTGTTTAGGCTACTTTATCATAGCCTGTTGGTAAACCCTCCTATGCTTGGGAATATACTATGAACGCATATACGACTAATCATGTCTAAGACGTTCGTTATTATATCCTTCAAAGATTTATACGTAAGAAAAACCTCGCGCACCTATGAAAACGCACCCACGCAGGTAAAAAGTACTGCTGGAAAGAATCTCAGTGAAAATAGACCTCCTTGACAGTATATTTACCAACTTTCGCCTGCTCAATCGACGCGGTTGAAGCATGGGCCCGAAAAGAGGTAAAAAGGGCACTCCGTGGCCAGAACCATGGTTTGCAGATGACCCTGATATACGCGCATATGTAGCTGCAGCCATCAAAGATCTCGAGGCACTGAAGAAGCACCAAGAAGCACTGGAGATTGGCATGCCCCGTGAGCTCTCTACTTCTGTGGTTGACGCGTTCTTATATCTGGCTCGAAGGGTGAAGAATACGCCTACGAATGAGCAACTAGTGCAGCGGCTCGCGAAGGTCGAATTACACGTGGAAAAGACACAGAAAGAGGTATCTCAGGCCTCTTGAGAGATTACTATGACCAAAAGCAACACGAACCGCCTGGTGGAGGCAATATGCTACCCAACATCCCCAGAGACACGTACCGCGAAAAATTCTCCAAGCTTCAGTCATGTGACAACTAGCTCAGAGTCGTACGTACAGGCCTGGGGACGTAAGGTGCCCTTGAACCCTCCCACGGTCCCTAGCGTGGGATTGAGTAGTGGAGGAAGCTTGCCATCAACCCCATATCCAAGCCAGGAGGACCTAGAGGTCTATCTGGAACATACCGATCTAAATATCCTCAACCCGATACGTTGATTCCCGGATAAGGTGGTGGAGAAGGCAAATCTCGCAATACACAGCACTTAAGACACCACCATCGCACATCGACGAATTGCGGTAGCCTATATACTACCTAGTGGCGATATTATACTCTTACTAGGCACAGTGGACGACGTCGACCAGCTTACCCGCAAGAAGGACTAGATTAGGGCATTTGGAAACGAAGCACGTATACAAAAATGTACATGGGACGTCGTCGTACACGGCGTTAACACGAATATCAACCCCAAACAGCCTCAATTCATAACCACGCTTACCTCAGAGAACACTCCGGTATTCGCGCAGCTTCTAGCCTCTATGAATGTCACACACACGGGCTGGCTCCTAAGCGAGTATAAGATCAAGGAACAGAAGCTCATAAATGCCCACCTTGTAGTCATATTTGATGATGAAAGGATTGCTAATTTTGCAATCTAACGCGGCCTTATTATTAAGAGAAGACAGCACAATGTCTCAATATACGACAAAGCAGCCAATCTCCAGCAGTGCTTCAAGTGTCAGATGTATAAACATATCGCCAGGCACTGTCAGCGCCAGATCTGCTGCGCGTACTGTGCTGGATCTCATGATACAGAAGATTGCCCTACACCGAAAGAGAAAGAATACGCTAAATGTGCTAATTGTACCGCAGAAAATGTCCATATCAAAGATCCTGCTAAGAGACTCAATACGAAACACTTTGCGTACGCGAGGGAGTACCCGATACAAGCTATATGCCTCGCAGAGGCACATCAACGACGTACATATAGCCTACAATATCACACTCCTGTGATACGACCTGGCAATAGTCAGCCCGGAGCCATCTCACCAAATGACTCTACACCAGCTGAAGCAGCCAATACAGAGCGAAGTCCTCGCGCACTGGCTTGTACAGCCACCACACGTTGATCTGTCAACTCAAGAAGTAAGAGCGCAGCAGCTGCCCGAAAACGAGTGGCAGAACGATCTGAGCCTGAGCCGATAAGCCCTACATCAGGTGACCCTACCAATAGATCCTCGAAAAAGCCTATGAGAGCGCAGTGGGATAAAGATCTAGTTATAGATGCAGATCCTAATCCTGAACCTAAGACAGGACCTGAGACCCAGATCAAATATATATATAACACACGTGCACGTCAGAATACAAAGCCTCCACTAGGAACCCCGGTTCTGCAATCAGATATTGCTTCACTAGAAATTTCATATGTACAAGCTGTTAGGACTGTCCGCTGAAGTAAGAGTGTGCGTACAATCCCAGACGATGACTTATCTGAGGATGAACTTACCCAGCCATTAATTCACAAAGCCTCTCAGGATCCAATCGAGCCAGCTCAGGAGGCTGATACGCTAATGACTACAAACCTTGAAGACAGCACCTGGGCTAACAATCAGTAATGTATCGTAATACCAATCGACTACAAATCCTGCAGGCTAACTGCTAGAAATCGCGGGACGAGGTCTAGATGCATCTCTTTGGTGAGAGCGAGGTGCAAAATTATGATATCCTGGCTATCCAGGAACCCTACATCAACAAACATACCGACCCACTAACAATATACTCACTAGCGCTCAAGGGCAGCTTCCATATCCTACTGCAGCCCACACCCAAGGAAGAATACAAGAAACGCCCATGAGTCTGTTTCTACGTCAATAGAGGGCTAGATCCAGCCACATGGGAGGTCCAATACCATAATAGAGATCTGAGCACATTGACACTTCATATAGCCGCCCATGGAATCATCCATATTTACAATGTATACAATCCAGGAGTCAATAGCAACGAGGAATCTGTAATTAGCGCCCTACAAACTGCCATGGCACCTAGGGTGTAGCATATTGTATTGGGGGACTTCAACCGACATCACCCACTGTGGGCGGGCCCGCGGTACCGATATGTTGACAAGAAGGCCACTAAATTGATTAATCTTATGGATAAGCATGGGCTCGAGCAGCTCTTGCCACCAGGCATAATCACGTACGAGAGGGTTAACGCTAAATCTACAATTAATCTGGTGTAGGCATCACACAATCTAGCCAACTGGGTAGTGAGCTGCGACACCAAGCCAGAGTGGTGATACGGAGCAGATCATGTCCCAATCTCCACTCAATTTGACCTTACAGCTATACGTGTTCCTCCATTGGTTCGCAAGCAGTAGAATGCAACAGATTGGGACCTCTTCCTTAAACTGATGGATATATACAATTGGCACCCAAGGGAGCTCAATGACAATAAGGCGATCAATGAGGTGATCCGCTATCTAGTTGAGGCAATCAATCAGGCAGCTGAGCAAGCGACACCTACAAAACAGATCAGTATCTACTCACGAGTGGGCTACACCTCAGAGATGGCGAAGCTTAAACACCACGTATCTAGGTGTAGACGACACGCACGTTGTATAAATACAGATTAGGCATGGGAGGATTACGCAGAGGCTAGGAAAGAGATGAAACGGCGCACCAATGAGCTCGCACGAGATCTACATTGCTAACGAATTGAGCAGGCAACAGAGTCAATAGATGGATTCTGGAGAATTGCCCGTTGGGTCCGCAATAGGGGCAAACCACGTGCCACGTTTACCCCAACGTTACACTACAATAACACGAGTTACACAGCCCCAAAGGAGAAAGCAGCCCTATTCTGAGAGGTCCTCCACCTAGAGCCCCCGGAGGCAGATCTGTCAGATATTGGGCCACAATATAGATATCCCAAACCGTATACGATGCCACCAATCACGTTAGACGAAGTCCAAATGGCAGTAACCAATGTGAAGCCCGACAAAGCACCAGGGCCAGATAGAATCCCCAATCTGGTCCTACAAAGGCTGCTCCCTACTATCGAGGCCTATCTCGTTAATCTCTTTAATGCATGTCTACGTCAACAATACTGCCCTGACCATTTCCGAAAGTTGACAATAGTCATCCTTCGCAAGCCTGGAAAGCCTGATTACTCTAATCTAAAGGTGTACCGCCCAATAGTGTTACTGAGCACGATTGGCAAAGCACTAGAATCAGTATTAGCCAGACATCTCAGCTATCTAGTGGAGCAATATAATCTTTTACTAAAGCAACATATTGGAGGACGTCGCGGCCGCTCATGCGAACTAGCAATCCATCTCTTACTAGAAGAGACCCATAGTGCGTGGAGAGAGGGCTCACGAGTAGCCTCAGGGCTTGCACTTGACGCGGCAGGGGCTTTTGACAACGTCAATTATATAAGGCTGATACACGACCTACGAAAGCGCCAGGTGCCAGATAACCTGATTGGCTGGATTGAGAGCTTTCTAAGCAATCACCGCACATCAATCACACTCCTAGAGGGCAATATGGGGGAATTTCTAGTCAATACAGGCATTCCGCAGGGCTCCCCATTGTCACCAATCCTATTCCTATTCTTTAATGCAGATCTTATTGAGCAGATACTCGCCGAGTGCCTGGATGTGATTGTACTTAGATATATTGACGACATCTTCATCATGATATATAGGACCTCCGCCGCAGCCAACTACCA